TGTATCACCGAGGGCACACAGGAGCTCTCTCACCGTTCCTGTATCACCGAGGGCACACAGGAGCTCTCTCACCGTTCCTGTATCACCGAGGGCACACAGGAGCTCTCTCACCGTTCCTGTATCACCGAGGGCACACAGGAGCTCTCTCACCGTTCCTGTATCACCGAGGGCACACAGGAGCTCTCTCACCGTTCCTGTATCACCGAGGGCACACAGGAGCTCTCTCACCGTTCCTGTATCACCGAGGGCACACAGGAGCTCTCTCACCGTTCCTGTATCACCGAGGGCACACAGGAGCTCTCTCACCGTTCCTGTATCACCGAGGGCACACAGGAGCTCTCTCACCGTTCCTGTATCACCGAGGGCACACAGGAGCTCTCTCACCGTTCCTGTATCACCGAGGGCACACAGGAGCTCTCTCACTGCTGTATTTACTGAGGGGCACTGGGAAGCTCTCACTGTTGCTGTATTTGCTGTCCCGTGCCTGCAGCCCTGGTTTCCAGCAGCTGCCAGCATGCTGAGCTGGGGCATTAGGTGCTCACAAGCTTGTCAGCTCCTGCCCTGGCTCAGGTGCCCCCCTTGGCACAGCCAGCGCCCCCCGGGACCCCCAGCAGTGCCACAGACACAGCCTGGCCCTGCCCGAGCTGCTCAGTGCTCCTGGGACAGGGAGGTGCTCACAGCCACGCTGCACCGGAGCCCAGCCCAGCTTTTGGACAGGCAGTGGAGAGAGGAGAGCCACCCCAGCTCAGGGGAGCAGGAGGGGAGAGCAGCTGAGGGCTCCACACACAAAGCTCCCGGCGCTAGAAATAGGACCTGTGCTCTCTGCTGGGTTATTGGAGACTCACCCTGCTCCAGGGCTGGAAAGGATCTCATTTGCAGGCATCTGGGGCCTCCTGGCTGTGCCACAGCCAAGGAATGTCAGACCCCTCTGTGCCACGGGGCAGGGCCCACGGGGCAGGGCACATGGGCAGGGCCCACGGGCTCCCTCCCTTCTGGCCACAAAGCCCCAGTTTGTGCTCATTGCCCTCTCGGTGAGACGCTTTAACCCCCTGGGCTCCCACCACCCTCCCTGCAGCTGGGGAAGAGCCCTTCCCTGGGCCACGGCTGGGACCCTGGCAGTGCCCCTGGCACTGGGATCCTGGCACCGGGACCCTGGCAGTGCCCCTGGCACCTGGCTGAAGGCCAGCATCATTCCCTGCTGCCCCTCTGGAGCCAGGAGAAAACAAACCCCGGGTAAATGACAGCCCAGGCAGGCTGGGACCCCGCTCTAAGCAGCAGCACAGCTGTTAGCTCTGGTCAGCTCAGAATACCCCGCTGGTTATGTCAAGTGATAAACCAAGGCAGCACTGTCTCTTGAGAGGGAAAGGCAAGAGAGGCTATTTTAAAATGAAAACCCACAGGAATTCAGAGTGCCGGTGAGAGAGAAGGGCTGAGATTAGGAGGTGGCACAAACACAAGCTGCAAGAGGCCTCTCCAGAGCTGTCCTGCGCCTTCAGCACAGGAGCAGCAACATCCCAGGGGGTGCCAGAGCTGGTTTGAGCTCTGGTTTTAGCCAGTGCCCATGCCTGGGGGGCTGTACAGCAGGAGAAGCAGCTGCCCTGGTCCCTGTGGCACCCAGGGGCCACCAAACAGCCCTTGGTGCCTCCGTGGGGCTCCATCTCCTCCCAGCTCACCTGGGGGATGCTGATGCACCCCTGGCATCCCTGTGACCCACAAGAGAGGTGCCCAGAGCAGAAAGAAGCTCATGGGCCAGATGAAGACAAAAGGAAGAACTGCTGATCACGGACCACGGGATGAAATGCAGCCTCGAGGGTGTCACAGCTGACCTGCACTGGGGCTGCATGAGGAACAAAGAACTCACAAAAAGAACAAATAAAGCAGGATTTCCACAGGGACAGCCCTGACCCTGCTCCACGGGCTCATGCCTGCAGAGGGGCAGCACCACCAGGATCCCCCCGGATCCACCAGGACCCCCCAGGATCCCCCCAGGATCCCCAGCTCCCCTGCAGCTCTTGCAGCGAGCCCAGGATGCAGAGATTGCTGGCTGTGTACCACAGGGGCACGAATCTGATATTCATAGACTTTGTTTTAAAGGGCAAACTCCCTGTATAGAAACAAACTGGGACAACAGCTTGAATGATGAATTACCCTTCTTCTGTACTTCCTCTGTGAAATTTAATTTTAATTGATATTAAACATGACGGAGCTCCTGCTCAGGCTCGTCTTTGCCAGCCACGATTTCCGCTGCCTCCAGAGCTAATGCCAGCACAGCCCTGCCCTCAGCAGCCTCTGTGCCACCAGGGCTGGGGCCCACCCGAGCCCCTGGCAGGGCCAGGCCCTTTCACCCAGGGGCTCTGGCACCACCCAGCACGGCTGGGCCCCTCAGCGATGCTGACAGGGAGAGCCACACTCCCAATTTCCCCCTCTTTCCTATTCCTTCACTGCACTTCTGGTCTGCTCGTTTTCACAGGAATTTTGGTCTCAGTGAGCTTTATTTCTGCTTCATTCTTCACTGCTCAAGAGAAATAAATCTCTTTGGCTTGCTGGCTCCTAGCGGCAGGTTATTTATCTGACTTCCAGGAGGTTCCCCAGCCCTACAACCTGCCCAGGTCCTGACAATGGGCACACGGGGCTGCTCAGGGTGGGGGCAGCGGTGGCTGCCTGGTCCTGCAGAGGAGACGTGTCACCACGTTCCTAACCAATGTTCTCACGAGGAAAGGCTTGGATGTCAGTGACCAACCCTTCCCTGGCATCCATGTGGGGCAGATGAGTGCAGCAGAGCAGGTGTCCCTGCCCTCCCTGCCCCGCGTGTGTGACTGCCCACTGTCACACCGTGTCCGTGCACAGCCGAAAGTACTGGGAAATACATTTATTTATAGCAGCCGCAGAGCCTCCCGTGCCTCTCCCGGCTGCTGCAGACATTCACGGCCTGCCGCTGCCGCCCCGGGCTGCGCCGTCCCCCCCTGCCACCGCAGCGGGGACACCGGGGACGGGACACAAGGGCTGGGACACCGGGGACGGGACACCAAAGCGGGGACACCAGGGAAGGGACACCGGCGACGGGACACCAGAGCCAGGACGGGCCCAGGACAGCCTAAAGGCGGGGAGTGACTCATGCCACCAGAAGTGCCACCAGAAGTGCCACCAGAAGTGCCACCCGGCGGAGCGCCCCTGCCGCGCTCGGCAGAGCCCCGGGGCGCTGGGGACAGCCCGGGCAGGGCAGGGCTGGGACACCGGGGACGGGACACCGGGGATGGGACAGCAGAGCTGGGACACCGGGGCCAACCGGGACACCGGGGACGGGACACCGGGGACGGGACACCGGGGCCAACCGGGACACCAGAGCTGGGACACCGGGGACGGGACACCGGGGACGGGACACCAGAGCCAGGACGGGCCCAGGACAGCCTAAAGGCGGGGAGTGACTCATGCCACCAGAAGTGCCACCAGAAGTGCCACCAGAAGTGCCACCAGAAGTGCCACCAGAAGTGCCACCAGAAGTGCCACCCGGCGGAGCGCCCCTGCCGCGCTCGGCAGAGCCCCGGGGCGCTGGGGACAGCCCGGGCAGGGCAGGGCAGGGCACCGAGGCACGCCGAGCCCTCCAGGTGGCACTGGCCGAGCAGAATCAGCGCCAGAGGCCGGGCTGGCACTGCCCCGCCCGGCAGCAGCTGTGCCTGCTAGCCCGGGTCTGGCCCGGGCAGCCCTGCCCTGCCCGGAGCAGCAGCTCGGGGCTCTGCACAGCCCGTTCCTCACTCAGGACTCAGCTGCTCCTGCCCCAACGCCCTGCAGGATCCAGCATGGCCAAGCAGCCCAAGATCCCGAGGGTGGAGGGATTTCCCCCCCAGCACCGCTCTGTGCTGGCTTTGGGATCTCCCAGCTCCTGTGGGGCAGCAGAGAGAGCTCAGGGAGGTGCAGCTGGTGCCACCAAAGGGTTCCCCGTGTCCCTTGGCCCAGAAGGGGCACACTGATGGGCACTCCTCTCCTGAAGCACCCTGCCAGGTTACACCCCAGCGCCTGGCTCAGAGCCCTGTGCAGTTTGCCCCTCTGCACAGGTGCCTGGTGTGTCTGCAGGGTCCTGTGGGCTCACAGGGGCTCACAGCCCAGCTCTGCCCTCGCTGCCCCAGGCAGGTCTCTGCCAGGCTGCACCCCCTGGCCGCTGCAGCTGCAGGCACAAGGCTTGCCAAGAGCAGCCCTGCCCGGGCACTGGTACTTTTGGAAGGCAGCAGAGCCCTTCCTCCCTGCGAGTGCCAGCCGTGCCCGTGGGCTCTGCAGGGCACTGCCACTGCAGCTCCTGCCTGGGCTCCTCCAGCCTCCGCCAGGCCCCCTCCCTCCCCTTTTGTGCAGTGCTTTTCCACAAAACCAGCACTTTTAAACAAATCCCCAGATCATGAAAGGCAGGGGTGCACAGGAGGCACTGAGGAGGATTAGCAAAGTACAGCCCAGGTTAAATAAACCTTAACTAAGATCCCTGGAGGAGATATCCCAACCACTGTGGTTCTGTGGGCTGGTCTTGGATTTCCTTGAGTTTCTGCGGGTGAGAAGCTGGAGCCTGAGGAATCCAGGCTGGCACCACAAGCCTTCTCCTGGGCTCTGGCCACCCCTGAGGAGCTCTGGCCACCACAGGACAGTGTGGCTTCTCTGGGTGGTATTTACAGACATGATTCCTGAATCCCTGAGCTGCTTCATCTGCAAACAGCAAATCTTACAAAAGATTCACAAGCAACAATTTCTTTTAGGCTTTTGAGATCTTCTGCCCCAGTTTGGGCATTGTTTGTCCCACACAAGGGTGAACTCCCACCAGCACAGCTGGGCTGGGGGGCTGCACGCCCAGCCCTGCCCCGGCTCAAAGGCCACCAGCCGCCCACACACATGCCATCCCCCTGAGGTGACAGCACGGGGGCTGGCCCAGGAAAGCCCCTTTAAGGGACACTTCGGCAGCCAGGACATTAATTTTAGCCTGGAGCAGTGCCAGGGGCACAGGGCAGCTGCTGCAGGCGGGGCCAGCGTGTCCCTGTCCCTGGGGCTCCAGCCCTGCCCAGTGCCCAGCCATGGCCGAGCAGCACGGAGAGCTGGAGGGGATCATCGTCAAGGACCAGCACACCAAGGAGATCGACCTGGTCAACAGAGACCCCAAGCACATCAACGAGGACGTGGTGAAGGTAGGACCGTGCTCCTGCAGCATTTGGGCTCAGGCCTTGCTGTGCTTGGCTGCACTCAGCCGCTGCTGGTGGTCCTGTCCATGCAGCCCAGCAGGGCTGTCCCCAGGGCTGGGGGAGGTGACAGCCCTGCTGGCCGGGCACCCAGACACTGGCTGGGTGGCACGCCTGGCTCCAGTTAGTGCCATGTTCCCATTCCTTGAATGGGCTCTCCAGTTCCATTGAAAATTTATGGAGACGCCTTCCTTTGCAGCAGCAAGCTGGCAGCCAAAAATAACACAGAAATTAAATAGCACCGGTTTAAAGGGATACTGGGAAAAGGCTGCTGCCCTTCGAGACACCAGCGTCAGTATCTGTTGTTTGGTGTGTGCTGTCGTGGTTGTGGAAGATTGCTCCCCCCAGGGCAGCCCAGAGGTGCAGCAGCCCCCAGTTCTGACCAAGAGGAATTCCCATTCTAACTCTTGGGCTTCCTCTAGACTCCCTTAGAACTGCAAACAAAATTTGTCTCTGTTAGCCAAAGCTAATTCCAGCCCGAAGGAGAACGGGAGGAGGTGGAAGGGTTTTGTTAGAACGCTGTGACTGTCACAGCAGGAGGGACAGCGGGCACAGAGCTGCTCACACGGGCTTTGTTACAGGCTGTGACCTTGACAGCGCTGCTCAAACACAGCCCTCAGTTGGGCATGGAAACACCAATCCAGCTGCAGCCGTGGCGTGGTCAAAGGAAATTCCCTGGGATGTGTGACAGGGACAGCTCGCAGGGCACTGTGAGCCCTGCCCCAGCTCTGCCTGGCCCCTCAGCAGCGTGCCCAACACCCCTGCCCCTCCCTGCCAGTGCCTCCAGCCCTGCCTGGGCGGGGAGAGTGCCAGGCCAGGGCAGCAGCACTCTGCCCTGGCAGCAGGGACCAGCAGGGACCAGCAGAGCCCCCAGCCCGCTCGCCCCGGGCCAGGCAGCGCCAGCAGCCACTCCTGGGTGGCATTGCCACCGGCCTCTCCTGGGTGCCAGTGCCACCGGCCACTCCTGGGTGCCAGCGCCACCGGCCACTCCTGGGCGCCAGCGCCAGCAGGGTCCCAGCCCCTGTCCCCAGCACACCCCCGCCTGTCCCACTCCAAAACCTCCAAATCCTGACGGGACCGTCCGAGCTCACCCACAGCCGTGGCCACGCTGCTCCAGCAGCACCGGGAGCCTGCAGAGCCCAGCACTCCTCCTCCCCAGAACAGCCCAGAGGGCTGGGCAGGGAGGGCACGGGCAGCCGGGCAGGGAGGGCACGGGCACAGCTCACCCTGCCCTGCCCCAGGAGGGCCCAGCACAGCCCAGCAGCCAGGGCACGGCAGCAGGAGGGCCCTGGAGCCAGGGCAGCAGGGAGCTGCTGTGTTCCACGGGAGGAAGGGCTCACCTGGCCTGGGTTGAGCCCGAGCAGCAGAGCAGCAGCCAGAACTGGGGTGAGTTACAGAGCCTTTCCCAGAGCCCCTGAGCACCAGGCAGTGCACGGCTCACTGGGGACCTCAGGAGGGCTTTCCCAGCCCGAAGGGAAGCACGGCTCTGTAAAGGAGCAGTACCTGCAGTGCTGCTCCCTGAGCACCCCCAGCAGCACCCAGGATCAGCCTGAGCCCCCAGGGCTCCCCCAGGCCATGGCAGCAGAAGGAGCAGTGGGGCAGAGCCCTGCCTTTATACCCCACTGCTCCCTGCATTAATTGGTCCCTGATGAGCCCCTCAGGGCAGTAACCTGGGCTAGCCCCAGCACACCTGGGCTAGCCCCAGCACACCTGGGCTAGTCACCTGCACACCTGGGCTAGCCCCAGCACACCTGGGCTAGTCCCCAGCACACCTGGGCTAGCCCCAGCACACCTGGGCTAGTCCCCAGCACACCTGGGCTAGCCCCAGCACACCTGGGCTAGTGCCCAGCACACCTGGGCTAGCCCCAGCACACCTGGGCTAGTCCCCTGCACACCTGGGCTAGCCCCAGCACACCTGGGCTAGTCCCCAGCACACCTGGGCTAGCCCCAGCACACCTGGGCTCTCGGGCTGCTGATGGCACCTCAGGGCCAGCTCTGGGGCTGCTGGCTCCTCATTGTCAATGCTTCTGTCAGCACCTCCTGCTCACTGCAGGAAATTAAAGATGACACAGAGCGATTTTGTGATCCAAGTGCTTCCAAAAGCAGAATGAATATCGTTGTTTAACGTGAGTGTACAGACACGTCAGCTGCCGGAGGGGAGGCTGGGCTGGTTTTCAAGACAGATAGCTCAGCTCATGTATTCCCTGGAAGTGAGCTACACCCCAAGGGATCTCTGCGTGCACCTTTGGGGAGTGTTGTCACTCAGAGGCACTCCCAGTGCCTGCACAAGTGGCAAGGGCAGGGCTGAGCCCAGCTCCCTGCCCCAGGAGGAGCAGGGACAGACAGCACTGAGCACCTCATCCTATGGGTATGAATAAAGAATCCATTAATCCCGAGGGCTGCTGGGTCGTTATTGGCACAAACGCCTTCCTGCCGAGTGGGCAGCCACATCCCTGAATCTAAAAAAGGGCAGGAATGGGCTCTGGGTGCCTCTGCAGCCAACACTCCCACGCACAGCTCCTGTTCCAAGGGCTCCTGCCCGGCCCCACCTGACTCCCCAGATCAGGGGTGGGACAGGGACTGTGACCCCCCCGTGTGGCCCTGGGCAGTGCTGGGAGCCCTGGGGCAGCTCTGCAGGGCTGTCCTGCCCGGGGCTGCAGGGACCCAGCACTGTCTGACCCTCCCCAGGCCCCCCCATTTGGGATCTGCTCTCCCCTCGTGCAGACCCTCGTGCTCACATCAGGGCCTTTGCTGACCCCCAGACCTCCCTGTGTGCTCTGCTCTCCTCCCAGGTGGATTTTGAGGATGTGATAGCCGAGCCCGTGGGCACTTACAGCTTCGACGGCGTCTGGAAAAGCAGCTACACCACCTTCACCGTCAGCAAGTACTGGTGCTACCGGCTGCTCTCCGCCCTCCTGGGCGTGCCCCTGGCCGTCCTCTGGGGCTTCCTCTTCGCCCTCATCTCCTTCTGCCACATCTGGGCAGTGGTGCCCTGCATCAAGAGCTACCTGATCGAGATCCAGTGCGTCAGCAGGATCTACTCCCTCTGCATCCACACCTTCTGCGACCCGCTCTTTGAGGCGCTCGCCAAGATCTGCAGCAACGTCCGAGTCGCTGTCCGCAAGGAGATTTAGGTCCTGGCAGCTGCCCCAGCACCCCCACACTGCCCGCTCTGTGCGGGCTGCCTGCCCTGGGGCACACTGACACCCTGTCCGGTGAGGGATCTGCACATGGACATCCCTGTCCAGTGATGGACCTGCACATGGACACCCCTGTCCAGTGAGGAACCTGCACATGGACACCCCTGTGAGGGTGATGGACCTGCACATGGACACCCCTGTGAGAGATCTGCACATGGACATCCCTGTCCAGTGATGGACCTGCACATGGACACCCCTGTGAGGTTCCTGCACATGGACACCCCTGTCCAGTGATGGACCTGCACAGGGACATCCCTGTCCAGTGACAGACCTGCACATGGACACCCCTGTGATGGACCTGCACATGGACACCCCTGTGAGGAACCCACAAATGGACACCCCTGTGCAGTGAGGAACCCACACAGACCCCGTGGCACAGGAGCCCAGCACCGAGGCAGGGTCCCAGAGCAGAGCTGGCTCTCAGGGTGCTCTCTGCTCACCATGGCCTGGTCCCAGAGCAGAGCTGGCTCTCAGGGTGCTCTCTGCTCACCGAGGTGGGCCAGGCTGCTCCTTACTCCATCCCAAGCCAGAAGCCTTAGGAGAAGGAAGCCCATCGTGGCCCAGGGAGCAGCCCAGAGCCCCTGAGCCCCTGCAGCAGCCCCTGCAGCAGCCCCTGCAGCACAGCCTGCAGTGCTGGGTGAGCAGTGGGGCTGCAGAGCTGCTGCTGGCCACGGCCCAGAGCCTGCCTGCTCCTGCCTCCCTCCGGGCTGGGCTGGGCTGACAGAAACTCCCCCCCAGGAGTTATTGTTTGTGGTGGGGGCTTCTGCTGCGGTGGGAGCTTGTGCATTAAACCGCTGCACAAAGATTTTAGGGATAGAATAGCTAAACCAAAGTTTTTTTTCACGCCTACTTGCATTTCAGCCAAGCTGTGGCAGCCAGAGCAGTCCATGCATGACATGTTGTGTCTGAGCTGACCCTGGGCCTCTGCCAGCTGCAAACCCGCCCGTGGCACTTCCATGCTCAATGGTGTGCTCAGTTGTGGAGCATCGAGGTGCCAGGGCAGGAGCCAGGTGGGAGCCAGCCCAGGGGCACACGGAGCGTTGGGAGCCTCAGCTGAGACAGGCCGGGCTCCGAGCCAGGCCTGGGCTGGTTTCTCTGGACCACCAGGCACGTGTCCAGCCGGTGCCAAGCCAGCAGGGTGTGTGTCCCACGGGGACAGGGCTGTCCCCCCGTGCTCCCCTGGGATGCAGGAGGGAGCCTGTGCCGGGACCCCGCTGCTCCAGCCGCAGGGAAAGAGGAGCCAGGGGCACGAGGATCCCTCAGAGCTGCTCCCTCCCTGTACTGCCAATTAATTGGTCGGAGCTGCACTTTCACTTTGAGGCCCTTGAAGGCTCTCTTGGCTCCAGCCTTAAGTGCTTTGCTGAACCAGGGCCCAGGAGGTCTCCTTGTTCAGGGGCTGCTCTCAATTGTCTCCATGTGAGCCTTCCCCTTAGATTCCAACAAAGACTTGGAGCCAAAGACTCCTCTAGTGCCACGCCAAGGATGAGAAAGAGCCAGGATTTCTGCTGGAGCTCTTCCAAGGGCTTGGGAATGTATACTGCTGGTATTCCATAGCAATGTGGTACCCAGGCTCCAGCAACAGCAGGGCCCAAGAAGGATGGCGTGATTAAAAAAAATAAAAAAGATACTTAGGTAATTACAGGGAGGTGGGGGAAAGTCTCAAAGAAAACGTCATTTTTTGTGAGAATAAAAATAATTGAAATCAATTGTATAATGGGCTTATACTAGTTGTTGTTGTTGTTGTTGTTGTTGTTGTTGTTGTTGTTGTTGTTGTTGTTGCTGTAGTTCACTGCCTGGATCCAAAATCCCTGAAGTGCTGATGTCCCACCACATTGCTCCCCGGGCTCCCAACACCTGGGGCACACGCTGCCCACCTGCCAGCACCTCTGTCTCTGCCCAGCCTGGTGCAGGAGCTCAGCCACGGCCCCTCCAGGTGTGGGGCATGGCCCTGCCGGACCCCAGACACCCCCAGAAGCTGCAGCGGGGCTGGGGGCCAATTCCCTGTGTGCCCCACAGCTCCCTCCCTTCTCTGCCTCTGTCCAGTGACATCCACGGCCCTGCCCCGCTCCTCCCTGGCAGGGGGATGCTCCTCACACTCTCCAGGAAGGGAGACCCCTCCTGCCTTGCTTTGTGCAGGATTTGTGACTCTCAAGGAGAAGGTGAACGTGGGACGAAAATGCTCCATGGTATCCCAGGGATTTCAACCAGTCAGTAAATGTGCTGAGAGCTCACTTGGAGCTCCCACCAAAAAATCAAAGGAAATTCAGGACAGGAAAGGTGCGAATGGGCCTGCTGGCCACAGTGAAGAAACAAAGGACACATTTAAATGCATTTTTCATGTTCATTCCCATCACGAAAGGCCAAACGACACCGCCCTTTGAGAGGATCCCGCTCAGTGCCCGTGTCTCAGCCGGCTCTGTGCGCTGGGGCAGAGCTGGGGACACCCCTCAGCCCAGCTCCCCCTCCCGCTCCCACAGACACAGTCAGAAAACTTTATTTACAGTATTTGTTAGCAACACGAGTCCATGCCGTGAGCGTGCCCCGTGCCACGGAGCGAGCGGCTGGCACGGGGCGGGGGAGGCTTGCTGGGACCGGAGCCAAGCCCGGCTGGGGCCGGGGGCGACAGGGGTGTCCCTGTGGGAGCTGGGCCCGCCCGGACCCCGCACGCCCCCGGGCAGAGCTGCTCGGCACCCCCGGCCAGGGCACTCCGCCGTGCCCCGGGCCCCTGGCAGCCTCTGCCCAGCCTCACTGGCACGGGGCACAGAGCCGGGCTGGGGACACTCGGCGACAGCGCTGTCCCTTCGAGGCTGGTCCCTGCTGACCTCAGGAGTGCTCTTGTCTGTGGCCAGGCAGGGGGAGCGGGGCTGGCAGGGCTGGCAGGGTTGGCAGGGCTGGCATGATGCAGGGCTGCAGGACTGGCAGGGCTGGCATGATGCAGGGCTGCGGGGCTGGCAGGGCTGGCAGGGCTGCAGGGCTGGCAGGATGCAGGGCTGGCAGGATGCAGGGCTGGCATGGGGCAGAGCTGCAGGATGCAGGGCTGGCAGGGCTAGCATGATGCAGGGCTGGCATGGGGCAGGGCTGGCAGGATGCAGGGCTGGCATGGGGCGGAGCTGCAGGATGCAGGGCTGGCAGGGCTGGCAGGGTGCAGGGCTGCCATGATGCAGGGTTGCAGGGTTGCAGGGCTGCAGGGACGGGGCTGCCTCTGCCCCACAGGCTGCAAGCGAAGCGAGCGCTCCTGTGCTGAAAGCGCGGTGCCAGGCGCTGCCACCCCGCAGGATCCTGCTGCAGGAGGAGGTGGGACGGTGCCCAGCCACGTACCAGGGTGGCACCCATGTCCCCTTCCACCGCGCCCGCCCCAGCAGCTCCGCGTCCTCTGTCCCTCGCGGTGGCATCCACAGCCACTCTGTCAGGGTTTGGGCTCAGGAACGGGCTCCTGCTGTCTGATCCCAGGAGCACTGGGGCTTGGGCACAGAATTCCTCCCCCGGTCCCGGTTAAATAAGCCCTGTGTGGTGCCCGCAGCCATGGATCCCCTGTCCGGCCGGCTTTCCGCAGCCCCGCGGCACGGGCACCGGGCCGGCCTCACGGGCTGGGCGGCTGCACGAAGCTCCCGTGGCTGGTGCCCCTGCAGCTGAGCACGAAGGAGGACGAGTTGCTCTTCCTGCTGAGCTCGCACGCCGGCCGCGCCTTCAGGTACCGCGCGGAGCAGCAGAGGAAGCGGCGCATCAGGTCGTGGAAGAGGTGCCCGGTGTAGAGCATGTAGATCCAGGGGTTGCAGCAGCTGTTCAGGCTGGCCAGCAGCATGGCGATGATGAAGGGCGAGGCTGCGAGACAGAGCACGGCGGTGTCAGCGCGGCACAGGGCACACGGCCCCTGCCCGAGCCCTGCCCCGAGAGCCCTGCAGCGGGGATGGGCCCGCAGGAACAGCTGGAGGGACACACGGGAGGGGAGAGCTGCTGCGGGAGGGAGAGCATCAATTCCAGCATCTGGGAAGGGAGAGGTGCTGCGGGGACAGAGAGCATCAATCCCAGCATCTGGGAGGGGAGAGCTGCTGCGGGAGGGAGAGAGCGTCAATCCCAGCATCTGGGAAAGGAGAGCTGCTGCGGGGACAGAGAGCGTCAATCCCAGCATCTGGGAAGGGAGAGGTGCTACCGGGACGGAGAGCATCAATCCCAGCATCTGGGAAGGGAGAGCTGCTGCCGGGACGGAGAGGGCCAGCCCCAGCTCCAGCCTCTCGGGTTCCGCCTTTTCCCGCAGGAGCCGCGTTCCGCCCCGCAGGCAGAGCTGCCCCGCAGCACCAGCACAACCTGCCCGGCCCAAGGTGCCCCGGCAGGACAAGGGAGCGCGGCCCTCGCAGTTTCCATGACAGAGCCGTTCTGGGGGCAGGCAGGGCCGTGGCTCGCTCTCCCGCAGCAGCGGCTGATTTGGGACGGGCTCTCGGCTTGCCCCGCTCGGGCTGGGGGACAGTCCCGGCTGTCCCCCGCTCCTCAGTCCCGGCTGTCCCCCGCTCCTGGGCTGTCCCACCAGCCCGGCCCTCTGCCCGCTGCTCTCCCAGCACCTTTCCCAGCCATCTTTCCCCCGAATTAGTGTTCCCCACGCAGTGCCCTGCCAGGAAGGACATTCCCAGTCCGGGAGCCTGGCAGCCCCCGGTGCCAGTGCAGTGCCAGGACATCAAGTCCTGGCTGCTGCTCTCTGTCCCCAGAGCACAAAGCACCCACTGTCCCACCTGAGGGGCTGGACTGGCACCTTCTGGTGACAAGGGGGTGTGGGACTGGCACCTGCCGTGGCACGGACAAGGGGCACGTCCCCTCCGTGAGGCGGCTGCAGTGCAGATGGAGCCTTTGTCCTGCTCCCCGTGCTCCAGCCCATCTCCTCAGCCCCTTTGCTCCCACAGGACGCACAGCAGCGAGGATGAGCACGGCTGGTCTGGCTGCTCCTGGCCCCTTCGTGCCTCTGCAAAAATCCACTGGCAGTGTTGAGACCAGTGAAGAAATGTGGCTATAAATGCTAGCTTCCAAATTCACCTTTAGCCAACGGATGCGTAATTCCTGCTCTTGTGACGTCTGCTGCAACACTTTTAATTTCAAGTATATTCTAAAAAGTAATTAATAATTAACTTCAAGTAATAATAATATTTCAATAATAATTCATTTCAAGTGTATGCTAAAAAATAATTCCAGACGGAGGGGTTACAAACCCCAGTCACAAAACCTGAAATACATCCCAATGTTTCTACACTGTTGAAAATGCCCAGCCAGGGCTGACTCAGCTCTTCCCTCTCTGCAGGAGGCAAATTGAATTTCAGGGAGCTTGCTGCAGGGCAGGTCTGGAGGGTGGGGCCCCAGGGACCCCGAGGGTGCTGCCCCAGCCAGCTGTGTCCTGGAGGATGGCCGCTGTCCCCAGGCAGGGCTGAGGGTGGGCAGGGTGCAGGCTGTGCCCCGGCAGGGCTGTGGGGGCTCTGCTGCCCTCACAGCCCGTGTAGGAGCCTGCCCTGAGTGAAGGGAGTGGCAGAGCAGCGGTGGTGCCCCAGAGCCCTGAGCTGCCCTCACAGGCACCTGGAGCCAGCTCTGGCTGCCAGCTCAGCCCCGCAGGCGTTCCCTGTGAGGTGTGAGCAGCAGGAGCCCCTGGGCAGGTCCCCAGTGCTTAAACCTGGAGCACAACCAGGTGTAGCTCCCACCCAACCCACCTTACAGAGGCCTTGGGCTGTGTGTCCACCTGAGGGGGTCTCTGCTGCCTGGCCTGTCACCCCCAGTGCAGTCGTGCCCCCTGCTGCTGGCACCCAGGGACCCCTGCCCTCCCTCTCCTGTGCCCACGCAGCCGTGAGGTGAGGAACAGCCACGTTCCCTCCCCAGCACGGGGCACACCTCTCCTGCAGCCCGCCCTGCAGCTGGCCACAGCCCCGAGCCTCCCGAGGGAGGGGATCTGGGATCAAGGCTGGGAATGCGCAGGCACAGCCCGAGTGCTCTGCAGAGACCTGACTGTGCTGCCCCTCGCGCCTCCGGGCAGCCAAGGGGAGGAGGAGAGCCTGCAGCCAAGGCCTGGGGTCTCCCAGCACTGGTACCCACCCCGGGCTGTTCCTCCCCGTGCCACGAAAGAGCCCTGGCACAGCTGCCAGCCTGTGCAGGGCACGGGCTGCCCGCAGACAGGAACGTGACAGAGCTGGGAGTGGGAGAGAGGCACAGCCTGGCAGGGCTGGAGATCCCTCCTGCCTTGAAGCTAAGAGGGAAGGGAAAGGAAAAGGGAAATGGGGAAAGGAAAAGGGAAATGGGGAAAGGGAAAAGGGGAGGGAAAGGGAAAGGGAAAAGGGAAAAGGGAAAAAAGGGAAGAGGGAAGCTAAGAGGGAAGGAAAGGAAAAGGAAAGGGGAAATGGAAAAGTAAAAGGGAAAAAGTGAAAAGGGAAAAAAGGGAAAAGGGGAAAACGGGAAAAGGGGGAAAAGGGGGAAAAGGGGGAAAAGGAAAAAAGGGAAAAGAGAAAAAAGGGAAAAGGGAAAGGGGGAGGGAAAGGGAAAGGGAAAGGGAAAGGGAAAAGTGCTGCAAGGCCTACTGCACGGGGTGAGCAAGGGAAAGGTTCCCTCCGCAGCCAGAGGGATTGGGATGGACAAATCCTGTCCATCGAGGCTCACACAGCAGCAGAGATTTGGGTGCTGCCGAGGCTGTGTGCCGGGCAGGGAGGGGCAGCCCTCGAGATTGCAGGATTCAAATGCAGCCCGAGGGAGGGCTGCTGCTTCACCCAGAGCCCATCGGGGAACTGGAAGTTTTGAGCAGCCCGAATCAGGTGGAAAACCCTTGGAGCACCAGGGAGGTGCATGGGGCACATTGCACTTCTCCTGAAATCACTGGAGCAGGGAGAAGCAGGAGAGGCAGAGCTCGCCCAGGCTCCTGGCAGTGCAGGGCACGGGGCTGGGGGCACGGGGCTGGCACAGAGGCTGTGCCACGGGGCACGGGCTGGGCGAGGGCTGGGCTGAGCAGCCGTGCCCTGCCAGCTGCCCTGAGCCCAGCAGCGACAGCCCGGGAGCAGGGAGCAGCTCCTCCTCCTCCTCCTCTTTGGCACCCGTGCCCCTGGTGAGCCCGCTCAGATCTGTGCAAGGCGCTCTCCTCCCTGGGCACACTTTTCTGCCCTTCCTCCCACCTCACAAAGTCCTGAGCAGTTTTTGTGTAAGGTGTCCCAGGTGGTTCTCCCGTCTGGCGGGGACAGCACAGAGGTGCACAGCTCCAGCCGTGTCAGACCAGGCAGGGTGACACTCTCTGTTCTATCTGCAACTTCAGGGACGGCAGCAGCAGCCAGCCCAAATATAAAAAATGGTAAATGCGTGACACATCTTTAGGAAAAGGTTTTGCTCATAAATCAGGGTTTTTCTACGGGCGCTGTGCTCCAGTCAGAGATAAAATAACAGCAGCACAGTGCCGGGGTGGATGGAGTAGGAGAGGGAGAAGAGGCCAAGAGCAGAAAGCAAAAAGTCAGTGAGGAAGAAACGACACAACAAAGGGAAGGAATTCAGGCTGTGCAGCTTTCTCCTGAGCTCCCACAGCATGTCTCAGCAGCCAGGGTGGGCAGCAAATCTCCAGGGACCCCAGAGTAGCACCCAGGGACAGGCACCGTGCAGGGACAGTGGCACCCAGGGACAGTGGCACCGTGCAGGGACAGTGGCACCGTGCAGGGACAGTGGCACCCAGGGACAGTGGCACCCAGGGACAGTGGCACCCTCTTGCTGCCCCCGAGCCGCAGTGGCCGGGCCCTGCCAGAGCCAGGGCAGCCCTTGGCCCGGGCAGGCTGCGGCTCAGCCCCTGCTGCTGTCGGGGCCCTCTGTGTCCAGGAGCTCTCCCATCTCCCTGCCACCCCCAAGCCCACCCGGAGCATTCCCTGGGTGTCCCCGGGGCGCTGAGCGGAGCCTCCAGGCCCTGCAGGCGAGGGAGGGGAGCTGTACCTTCCTGCGGGGCGTTGCTGTCCCACACAGACCACATCTGCACGAAGAAGAAGGGAGTCCAGCACACTATGAAGGCCAGCACGATGATAAAGGTCATTTTGACTGTCCGGATCTTGGCTTTGGAGATGAGCCTGGTGCTGCTGACCCTGGCAAACACCATCCCGCCGCGGGAGCCCGAGCCCAGCCCCACGCCGGGCCCGTGAGCCGTCTTCAGCTTCACGTTCTGCCAGATTTTGAAGCTGATTAAGCCATAGCAGATGCTCAGCATCAACACAGGGATGATATAGACCATGAGGGTGATCCAGGTAACATAGGCTTTCGGTCCCCAGGGCTGGATGAAATCTGCCCAGCAGTCGTACACCCCATTCCCCACATCCCTTAGGGAAAATATGTGGATCTGCGGGATGCTGACCAGCAGGCACAGCAGCCAGGTGAGCAGGACAGAGACCCGGTCAGCTCTCCTGTGCAGGGACCTCAGGGGCTGGCAGATGGCCAGGCAGCGGTCCAGGGACATCAGCAGGAGCATGTAGGTGGAAGCAAACATTCCCACCACCTGCAAGTACTTGATCAAGCGGCAGAGGAAGTCTGGCCCGTAGAACCTGAAGGTGATGTCCCAGATGAGCTGGGGCAGCACCTGGAAGATGGCCACGACCAGGTCAGCGATGCTCAGGTGCTTCATGAAGAAGTACATGCGGGAGTGCTTGTGGCGGGTGGTGTGGATGGCCAGCAGCACGCACAGGTTGCCGGTGAGGGCGAGGAACAGGATGAGGCACAGCACTGTCACCTCCACCTTGGCCATGTCCTCGTTCCTCTTCAGGGGGTCGGCGGTGCTGTTCCTGCCGGCGCTCGGGCTCTCCAGCCGGAGGCTGCCGTTCCCCAGGGAGCTGTTGATGATCCAGGTGCTGCTCCCCGCCAGGTACAGCTTCTCCATGGCCAGCGCCGGTCCGCATCGAGCCTGGGGCAGGTGAGGAGCGACAGCGGGCAGAGCGTGGGCAGAGCCCGTACCGACGCGTTCCGTGCGGTAGCCGCGTGTCCCCGCCGCTCCCTCCGTGTCTCCTCAGCTCTCAGTACTGCACGGCTCTCCGTGTCCCCGCTCTGTGTCCCCTGCCGTCCCCTCCCCGCGGTGCCGCTCTCTCCGCCCGTCCTGTGCCGTGCCCGGCTCCCCGCGGCTCCTCCCTGTCCCCTGGCCGGTCCCGCGGCGTCTCCGCCGGCCGCTGCCCCGCCACCAGCCCCGGCGCGGGGGCCGGGNCGGCCCCTCGGGGCCCGCCCGCGGCCCTGGCCCCGCACCGGACCCGCCTCAGCATCTCCGCGGAGCGCGGCCGTGCGCGCACAGCGGCAGCCCCGCAGCCCCGGCTCCCGCAGCCCCTCTCCTCTCGGGCAGCCCCGGTTCCCCCGGGCAGTCCCCGTTCCCCGCAGCTCCTTTTGGGAAGCTCCCGTTCCCCGCAGTCCTTCTCCCCCAGGCAGCCCCGGTTCCCTGCAGCCCCGGTTCTCCGGGCAGCTCGGGATCCCCGCAGCCCCTCTCGGGCAGCCCCGGTTCTCTGCAGCCCCGGTTCTTTGGGCAGCCCCGGTTCCCGCAGCCCCGGTTCTTTGGGCAGCCCCGGTTCCCCGCAGCCCCTCTCCTCCCGGGCAGCCCCGGTTCCCTGCAGCCCCGTTCCCCCAGGCAGCCCCGGTTCCCTGCAGCCCCGTTCCCCCGGGCAGCCCCGGTTCTTTGGGCAGCCCCGGTTCCCCGCAGCCCCTCTCCTCCCGGGCAGCCCCGGTTCCCTGCAGCCCCGCTCCCCCGGTTCCCGGGGCTGGCCGCGGGGCTGGGCGGGGGCAGCGCCCCAGTACCCGAAGCCGCACTGGGCTCAGCCCCAGCCCTGCTGCCGGAGCTGCCGTCGCAGACGCCAGGGAAGGTTCCCCCGTGGGGCCAGCCTGGCCTCGTCCCACGAGCGGGCTCAGGCGTTGGGCACTCGCATTAACACACCCACCGAGAGCTCTCCTGTTCTTTCAGAGGAAGATTTCAGAATATTATTTCTATAAAAGAAGGAGCAGTACTATGAGCGACAGCATTTGTCACCAGCTCATCGGCACAGCTCAATGGTTGTCCCCGTTTTCAGGCTCCCTACAAGGGATCAGAGCTGGAAGTGCAGGGGGGATGCTGAGAAGAGCATGGAATCCTCCCAGTCCACCCCTCAGTCCAGCAGCCCTGAAGGCCCCCAGCATCACCAGCCTTTGCTCCCCACTTCCAAGTCACATCTCAAAGCCCCCTCAGCCCAGCCTTAGGCCCTGAACAAACATCCCTGCAGCTATTTTTAAAGATTTTTGGGAAGTTTTAGCTCCACGCAAGATGAAGAAATGTTAAATACTTTGGCACGTTGTTCCCTCTAGGGTTCATGTTCTTCCTCGTTCAGGCAATAAAACTTCTGTGGGAATTGCTGCAGAGTGCAGCTCACCATGTGAAATGATTTTTTTACTGTTCTGCTGTTTGGGGAGAGCTCTCAGGAGGAGGTGACTGGGGGTGGAGGCAGGGAAAGGCTTGCCCTTGGCTCCTGCTCAGTTCCTTGGGGACTCAGGTGTGGCTGCAGCACCCCTGAGATGGTGCCTGAGGGGAGGCAGAGCAGCCCTGCTCCTCTCTGGCCTTGGATGAGGTGGCACAGACCCAGCTCCCTTCCAGAACAGACCTGAACTGCTGGGAAGGGCCCAGTGCCCTGTGCAGCCCTGGCAGCTGAGCACCTCCAGGAGTGGTGTGCCACAGGTGCCAGCTGTGCCAGCACCGGCCCTGCTTGTCCCCGTGCCACTGCCACACCGCTCCCAGGGCCTCGTGCTCCGACAGGCTCTGCCCTGACTCGGAGTGCAGGACAGCTCAGGGGACTGCACACTGCAATCTGGGCACTGAGCAGGGTAACAGCCAGCCCTGGTGCCCTCCCCAGTGATCCCACCAGGGCTGGGCATTGCCCCCAACAGCCAGAGATGCTCAGTCCTTATTCAGGCAAAGCTGCAGCTGCTCCACCGCTAAAACCCAAACACACGTGATTTTGAAGCAAAGAATCCTGTGAGAATCAAAGGGTTTTCTGAGTCATCCCCTACTTCTTCCAGCTTTAAATGTTCAGGGATGCCATAGAGCTGGAAACATTTTTATTTTAAAATACATGCTTTGGGATAATCAAAAGCACAAACACTAAATAAAGCTAAATTTAATTGCCGTTTGGTTTACTGCTGGAGCTGAAATAGCTGTTTTTCCAATAGCTATCTGGACCACAACTTTATGGTCCCCAGGACAGAAGAGGTCTGGCAAAATGTCAAGCCCAGGCCACAGCTCTGTAGATGGAGCTGCAGCCGCCCATGAACTCGTGCATGGCTGCATGCACTGCAGGCACTGCAGGCTGGACAGCCAGGGAGTGGTACCTGCCTGCTCCTGCATGGGAATTCCTTCATCCTAGAATTCCTTCCTAGTCCTCACCTCTTGCACTCAGCCTGCAGGAAGCCTAGCTCTGGTAAATCTGCTGAAACCACGGAGAAGAGCAGTGCCATGGACACATCTTCAGGGAAAAGGGATACCTGTGCTTCCACACAGAGCTGCTGAACTGGCTGTTCAATCAGGCTGGGAGCGTACGAAGGGCACAGCCAATTACAACTCTTCTGTGTCTTTCTTAAATGTGCACATGAGTAAACTCTCAAGTCTGATACTGAATTCTCCATGGCTCACCAGCTGGAGTGCTGGTTTCCACAAAAACACACAATCAATATTGCAATCTGCACCAAAGGAAACAAGGCTTTGGAGACACAGCGTGGAAATATCAGCAATGCACAGAATTGTTTGGTCCCAAACCCACACACCAAATTCCCTGTGTTACTGAGTTCACTGACCAGGGGTAACAGGAGCCAGTCCAGACCTGTGACAGCTCCACTCCTGGCTAATGCTGTGTCATCCATCACAGCCCCTCCTGCACCGTCCTCTGGCCACGGTATTTATTTTTGTTAGCTGAAAAACAATGACAACAAAAAAACGCAGCCAAAAACCTAGTCCTCAGATTGATCACAATTTAAAAAACCAAAAAACAAACCAAATAACACAGAAAAAAAACCTGCAGCCCATGGTCAGTCCCAGAATTTCTGGCCCAGCACACTACCTGGCTGCCAGACTTGTGCCATGGCTGGGGAAGGTTTTGGAAACTGAGTCATCAGAAATTACTGGGAGGGGAGAAGGAGCCAGAGAAGCTGACTTGTGTATGCAGACAAATGGAGAAGGGAGGATCTACTGCAGCCTTGAGCTCTATAAAGCATTCACAGCAGAAAGAGAATTTACACGAGTTCATGCACATATCAAGATAATTTCTTTTCTCTTTCCCAGTGTGAAGAACGGTATTTATTTTTGTTAGCTGAAAAACAATGACAACAAAAAAACGCAGCCAAAAACCTAGTCCTCAGATTTATCACAATTTAAAAAACCAAAAAACAAACCAAATAACACAGAAAAAAAACCTGCAGCCCATGGTCAGTCCCAGAATTTCTGGCCCAGCACACTACCTGGCTGCCAGACTTGTGCCATGGCTGGGGAAGGTTTTGGAAACTGAGTCATCAGAAATTACTGGGAGGGGAGAAGGAGCCAGAGAAGCTGACTTGTGTATGCAGACAAATGGAGAAGGGAGGATCTACTGCAGCCTTGAGTTCTATAAAGCATTCACAGCAGAAAGTTCATGCACGTATCGAGATAATTTCTTCTTTTTCCCAGTGTGAAAAGAAGTGTGGGACTACACTAAACGTACTCAGTGTTACAGAATCCTTCACATCGTGTCCCTAAAAGGTTTATGGGATTCAAACCATTTCCTCTGGATCCCCAACTCACTGAAATCCATCAGCCTCTGCTCCCATGGCCTCCAGCCCACACCAGCACTGGAGCCCCAGCTTTGGGAGCTGAATGCTGGAAAAGGAGCCTGAAGCTCCTGGCATTAAGCCAGTGCACATTTCCATCCCCACAATCCCTGGCACTGCATGTGAAACCCGCAGAGGCTCTGCAGACACATCCCAGGGCACACTGAGGTGCCACCTCGTGCCCCGGGGCGAGCCCTGGCACACAGCAGGGCTCTGATCAAATCTCCCAGCTCAAGGCTGTTTAGAGCAGAGCAGGCTGTGGATGCTGCTGATCCGATAACCAGGCTGATCCTGCCAGGCAGCCCCAGCCAGGCTGGCAGAGCCTCCCAGGGGGAGGCAGTCTGTGACTCTGGGGAACTGCCAGGGTCAGCACTCACTTGGCAGGGTCTCTGAGCCCCTGCCAGGGCTTTGAGACATCCAGGGCACCCAGAGAGATGTCCTGGGCTCCGACAGGGCACTCCCCCGCTCCCCCAGGCCCAGCACAGGGTGACAGGGGCTCTCCCCAGGCACCCCCTGAGCAGCCAGCTCTGCAGGGCTCCCAGGGACGCTGCTTGTGCTGAAATGCTCCTTGCTTCATCCCTTTATGGCCTCAAAGCCCATAAAACCAATGGAGCCTGCCCAGACCCAGGAGTAACAAGTTGGGATAATAAAGCTGAAATATGTATCCATGTGGTTTTTAACAAAGAGCTTCAGGTTCAAGCTTTGGGAGATAATACAATCATTTCACTGCTTTTGGGGGGATTCCCACATTTGTGTGTAACTCCAAGCTGTTCATTGCAGTGCCCTGAACTCCCCCTCAGCATCAGGAGGGAATGGAAAGCAAAGTGAGAGCCAGAGCCCTGGGCTGTCCCCGTGGCACTGGGATCCCCCTGCAGCAGTGAGGGGTGTCAGGGGAGCTGTGTCCTGGTTTAGGGCAAGTTTTGGGAGATAAATTGGGGATAAAAGCATCATATAGTCAACCCAGGACAACCTGCACACCCGGTGTCACACTGAGTGTCACCTCCTGGGATCTGGGACAGTAGTTAACCTTCCCAGAGCCATGGATCACCCAGGTGATGCCAGGCACAGCCCTGCCTGCAGCCCTGCACACACTGGTGCTGCTGCCCACTGAAGTGAGGCACTTTTCTCTTTGAACAAAATAGAAACAGCAAGATCTGAGATTCTTCGGTAAAGAAAGAAGAGCCAGAACAAAACCAGAATATAGTCTGGTTTAATATATTCATATGCAAATTCTACATTTATTTGCATATGTAGAGGAAAGTGAGTCACTTTTGGTGCTCATCACTACAAGGATCTTAGCCAAGTGGTATGAAGGAGGCTGCAATCCTCGGGATAATTCAGCAGATACGTGTGAGTATCCCAGCAGGTGCGTCTGGGAATGCCCACAAGGCTGAGGGTGCTTCCACACAGCCCCCATTTCTCTCCCACCAAACACCTGCAATGAAAACCCCATCCAGGCTCCAGGAATGCCTCTGCAGGGCCAAGTAATTAACCAGAGCAGTGAACTTTCACTACAAAAATGGAGTCCAGCTACATTTACACAAACTTTTCTGCCTCACTAATTACTTCCCATTTGCACTAATGTGTTTACCTTCTTCCTGAAGCTGGTAATTCATGCTCTTCTTTATTTAGTTCCAGATGGTTGTTTGGGAGCCAACTCACCAATTTGTCCAAATCATTTTGAATTCAGGCCCTCTGGCTCCTCCAGTGCCAGTGGGACAGAACCATGATTATTCTCTCCTCTGGGCAGCAGATCCTGGTGTTGGGTTTGCCCAGCAGGTAACTGTGATTCATCTCCAACTCCTGTTTGTGTGAGGTGTTCCAATGCCAGAGTATCTGTTCTTCTATCACAACAGACCCACCTTCAACCAAAAGGGTTTTTATTTTAACTCCAGCCAGCAAACACAGCCACCTTGGAGAAGTGGCCTTGAGGGACCCTGACCCTGCCTGTCCCCAGCAGCCCCAGTCCCTCCCGGGGTGCTCAGTGTGAGCCCCGTGCCCTGAGCTCACACTGCCCGGTCCTGGCTGCCAGGGAGCCTCTCCAGGCCAGGGCAGAGCCAGCCCGGGCACTGGGGCAGCTCCCCGTGTGCCAGCAGCTGTGTGCCAGCTGTGTGCCAGCTCCCTGTGTGCCAGCAGCCTGCCAGTGCCCCATGTGCCAGCTCCCTGTGTGCCAGCAGCTGTGTGCCAGCTGTGTGCCAGCTCCTCGTGTGCCAGCTCACTCAGCAACCTCGAGGACAAGTCTGGACACAGAGCAGCACCGTTCTGAGCAGTGTGTGCCAGCTGTGTGCCAGCTCCCTGTGTGCCAGCAGCCTGCCAGTGCCCCATGTGCCAGCTGTGTGCCAGCTCCCCGTGTGCCAGCTGTGGGACAGCTCCCCGTGTGCCAGCAGCCTGCCAGTGCCCCATGTGCCAGCTGTGTGCCAGCTCCTCGTGTGCCAGCTCACTCAGCAACCTCGAGGACAAGTCTGGACACAGAGCAGCACCGTTCTGAGCAGGCAGAACCAGGCACCACAGCCTGGCAAAGGGCACCACAGCCTGGCAAAGCCAATCTGAAGCTCACTCAGCAACCTCGAGGACAAGTCTGGACACAGAGCAGCACCGTTCTGAGCAGGCAGAACCAGGCACCACAGCCTGGCAAAGCCAGTCCAGCAGAAACTCCCTGGTGCCTGCAAAGCCAGCAGAGCCAGGGCTGCCCTGCCCACACCCCAGCTGCTCACGGCAGAGGTGCCTGGGCTGGGAGGCAGCAGGGCCCATGCCCAGCAGGGCTTCTCTGCTCCTGCCTCTCCCCACTGCCAGCACTGCTGCCTTTCTCACGGCTCCCAGCCTGGGGAACAGCACATTTCTCCTTTTTGATTATTTTGTTTCCACTTTCGCCCTTCTGCCCCGGCCTGAGGGACTGCTCCGTGACCAAGTTCATTTCCTGCTGAATGGATTCCCTGCCCAGAGCTCTCCAGGGGCAGCCCAGCCCAGCAGCACCCTGGCTGCCAGGATCAGTCCCCAGGAGCTTCTGTCCTCCCAGTTCTCCCAGTTCTCCAGGGAGCCATCAGGAATCTGCCCCGGATCCACTCTGGGAACAGACCCCCAGCAGGGGGATGGAGGGTGCCCAGGACCCCCAGCAGGGTGACACAGAGGGTCCCTGGCACTCAGCCCTGCCCAGCCCAGCCCAGGGCACTGGCTCAGGGGATGTGACAAACACCAGCACAGTCAGTGCAAAGTGTCAGGAGGCTGCAGGAACTTTATGATTACTCACCCAAAGAACACAGAGGTGGGGTTTGCCCCCCGGTGGGGCCATGCCCTGTCCCCCATCACCCTGTGCACCACCCCGTCAGCGCCAGCTCAGCTCCTCTGGCTGTGACCTGGGCCCCAGCCTGGCTGCTCTCAGCTCCCCAGTGTCCCCTTGCCCTCGGCTCAGTGACGGAGAGCAGAGCTGTCCGGGGAGCAGGGGACAGGACAGCGTGGGCAGGACACTGTGTTTCCTTCCCTGTTGTTTGTTCCCTGATGTTATGCACTTCCTGGGACACTCGGGCTGGTGAGATGTGAGATGTGAAGCAGCAGCATCATTTATGGCACCCGGGGGATCAGCAGCCCCTCCTGGCAAAGGCTGGAGCTGGCAGCACCCTGGCACTGCCTGGGGCTGGAGCTGGCCCTGGCAGCAGACCACCACATCCCTGCTTTTCCCTAAGCCTCCATCCACACTGCCCAGCGTGTCAAAGGCTCCATGCTGCCTCCCCTGCCCCCTGGCCACACACCCACTAACCTGAATCCCAGCTTCACGCTGAAGTCCAGACACAATAACCCTCAATCTTACCCAGACTCTGTGCCTTCTTTGCCAAGCTCCCACTGACAGGCTGACCAAAACTTCAGGGCTCAGCAAAAGCACCTGAAGTATTTTCATATTTTGCTTACAAGCTTTATTTTTCAAAGCCATCTCTGGTGTTCAGGTTTCTTGCATTTCCTTCGTTTTCTTGCACTACAAAATCCCACCACCTCCTAAGGAAGATCAGACTTTTCACTGTAACTATTTGCTTGAAAGCTAAAATACTTCATGTCCAACAACCTTCCAACTTCTTTCCAGTTTCAGGACTTCAAACTGAAATAATGACACATAATACTGAGTAAGTTTACACAGACATATATAAAAAAGCCTGTTAGTGTAGGGCAGAATCTCCCTGCATCTCTTGGTCCCCCCCTCCCTTGGCTGTGCCAGGAACTGGGGCCCCAGTCCCTGCCCACCCCCAAACAAAAGCAGCTGCTTCCAGGAGGGCACATGAGGGGCACAGGATGCAAGCACAACAGTGGCAGCACAGCCCAGTGCTGCAGCAGTGAGGAACTCGGGCCCAGGAGCCAGGTCAGGCTCCCACAGGGCCCTGGCACTCTGTGCCCAACCTCAGCCATCAGCAGCCCCCGGGGCTGGGGGCAAACGCACCAGCCTGGTCATTAAGGCAGCTGGAGTGGCAGTGATGTGAAAATACAGCATTTTACTCAGTACCCAGGGACTCGGAGAAGGGGCAGAAGCCAGGGGTGCTCCCAGGCTGGCTGGGCACTCCTGCAGTGCTAGCTCCTCTTCCTCTTGCCCCGGGGCACGGCCCCGCTGTCCCCGGGGATGCGCGGCCGCCGCAGCTTCCTCTTGTTCCCTGTCAGGGCCACGGAGCTGCTGCTGGGGAAAGAGCAGAAGGGGGACAGGGTTGGCCATGCCCAAGCACAGCACACGCTCAGAGCAGCACACGCATGCTGCACACACACGTGTTACAGGTGACGGGAATCGGGGCATGGCTTGGGTTGGAAGGGACCTTAAAGAGCACCTCATCCCCCCTGCCATGGGCAGGGACACCGTCCACTACCCCAAGGTACTCCAAGCCCTGCCCAACCTGGCCTTGGGCACTGCCAAGGATGGGGAGAGGAATATTTCTGTGCCTTCTCATTTGAGGAAGGTGACAGCCCACGAATCATCCCACAGCCCCAGAGCCTGCAGGAACAGGGTCATCACAACGCCTCTCCTTCTCTCCCCAGAGACCAGCTGGAGCCCAAGGAACAGAAGCAATCCCCCAGATTCCTTGTCCATAACTGAGGACAGCCCCTGGCACAGACAGAACCATGAAGATGTTCTATCAGAGAAGGCAGTTTGGGGCACAGTCCCTGGAAGCAGGATGAGAGGTTGGTCAGCGTTACCCCCAAAGGAGGGCTTGGGGCCTGCAGCCTCCCCAGGCACTCTCCTCATTTATGGACAAAGTATTTTCCACAGAAAACTCAACAACTGTTTTATTTTTAGTCACAGTTAATTTTAAAGAAAAAATTCTTAAACTAGCTGTATGTAAATGAAGCAGCTGATTTCCGTCACTCAGCCTTGGAGCTCAGAATTCCACATAGTGTTGACATGAAAGATGCCACTAATCTGTCAACAGCTTTTGCTAATTAAACATTCCTTTTAAGTGCACTCTGCTTTATACCATCTGCTAGGCTGAATCCATCCTGCAGGGACTATTGATTTGTCTTAAACTGGGAATTCACACCTGACAATAACAATGGACAACTCTGAGCTGCTCAGGCCCACATCTGCTGACTGCCACCAGAGACACACTGAAGACACAGCAGGAACAAGCTGTGTTTCAGAGCTGCACCACCATGGAAATGGCTCTGCTGCATGCCTGGGACCTTCAGCCACACCAGGAGATCTGTGTGAATGCCAGCAGTCAGATCCAGCTGGGCTTTGGTGGTGGGACTGAACAAATGTTCCCAGAGCACCGAGGGGCCTCGCAGACCCACGGCCTCTCCACCCCTTCACAGGGGTTTTCATATGGGAAACAGAAACATCATTCAGAGACTTGCAGACACTGAGATTTTAACAACCAAGGAGTGCTCTTCTAATCTCAGACAGAACTAAATGCTCAATTCCAGCGTGTTCAACTTGTCAGCCTCACCTACAGCTCTGTCAACAATGGAACTTTCAAATGCAACAGAAGATCAGATTTAATTTTCCATGACAAAGCAGTTTCCTTTTTTTTTTTTTAATAAAATATATAGTTATATATCCCTTAAAATAAAGATATTCAGTTGGGCACCTGTGGATTCTTGGAGGACCAGGTATCATTTTTCAAGGATCCACATCCACTGACCAAACTGTGCTTCTCAGAACCGTGGGGATTCTTCAAGAATCTGACTTTCCTGAGACATTTGCTTCTCCAGGACTCCACCAACTGCAAACCACAGACCTAAACCCATCCCAAGGACTTCAGCTCCTGGATATTCTACTCACCTGTCAGAGGACGTTGAACATGTCTCAGACCCTTCCCTGTCTGTCAGAATGTCTGAATTGGTGCTGAAGGGGGAAATAAAACAGAGGAAATTATTTCAGCAACACCTACAGCACTGCAGGGCTCCCCTGGCAATGGCAGCAGAACCCCTGGGTGAGACCAACCCCTCCAGCAGCAACAGCAATGGGAAATAACACCTACAGCACAGTCCAGAAGCTTCTGTCTCGCTTCATTTTCAGCTATCCCTGGGGTCTCATTATCAGCATTTAACACACAAGACAGTTCTGTGTTTATTCTGTTAGGTGGTAACTACACCACCTCTGTATTCCCAGGCACCAGAAAGTTTCTCTGGAGAGGATCTGCAAGACATCTTGGGGGGTAACGTGTATCTTCCTTTTTTTAAAGTCTCTCTTAAATAAGTCAATGTGACATAAAATTTCTGTAAGAAGCAGGATTTTTTTCACCCTTTGCCATTTTGTCTCCCCTGTGAAGTGAGAGTCCTCAGCTGTTACTGTGGCGATAACTACAGAACCTACAGGAATTTGGCAGGACAACACCAGGTTAGAGAACCTCCAACACACACACATTCAGTCATACAGATAAAAAGGAAAAAGATACCAAAAATGGATGGGAAACGTTTTGAAAGTCAACATTGTTTTTACTCTCAGAATTAGAAGCCCATCAAAAGCTCATTTTCGGTGCACGGAGTGGATGCCCAGGGAATGAGTTATCATATTTCCAAACCCCACTCTCATGTTCCAGTTGCATTTTAAAAAAGAACTGGGGAGGACACAGGACTATTTGTGTGCTTTTAGTCCCCTAAAATAGAAAAAGAACAGGTTCGAGGCCTGAACATGATGTACTTCCCTGCCTTGAAAACTGCAGCATTTATCACCCGCCGCGTTTGTCACCGCAAAACAATAAAACTGAAAAAGTCTGGCTAACATTCAAAGCAGTAATGTGTGTTCAGAATTCACATGTGGAACCCATGGTCCAGGCCCACCAAACTCTTTGAAAACCAAGTACAAAAGGTCCTGGAGCGAGTTCCACCTTTGGCCTGCACATGGAGCACGAGCGGCCCTGACGCCACAGCCCCCGCTCCCGAGAGACCCCAATTAACCCCGGCGCCCTAATTGCACTGAGGGACCGAGGGGCTGCAGTAGCTGTGCCAAGCAGGGCTCTGGAGCTGCAGCTGGAGCTAACAGCCCTTTGCTTCAGGAGCTTTTCCAGCATGCCACTGCTCCTGCAGCCCCCCACTGCACTCTGCAGCCCGGCCCTGCCAGACACCAACTGCAGCTGCAGAGCCCGAGCACGGCCGGCTGTGCAGCTGGGGCAATCACACACCTTTCTGCCACGTGCCAGGGGACAGAAGTGTTTGAAAATTAAAAAAATAATACTCAAATATGCCACAGTTAGAAAACAATTATCAAAAACTATTGTCGACTAAACAAAAGCAATTTTGACCATAAACTGAATTTGTATTTGAAATTAACTTTTGCTTTCCCTGAAGAAAACTCCTCCCTCTTCTTAGCATCAAATGATTAGCCCTTAAACTGAAGATTATGAATTAAAGAAGAGAAACAGCCACCTTATTCTGAAGGGTTTTTTTCCTACAAATTGTAGGCCACAGGGTTCACAGAATTGAGAATTTTTGTTTTGTTCATTTCTCCGATGTTTTCTGCCTTTTCAATGCTTCACAGGTATCTACCTACACTGCATCCAAGCACAGCAAAACACAGACTTTACTCAGACTCCAAATTCAAGACAAATTCCCACAAGTTTTCTGTCCTTTTCTTAACTAAAGGTCACTAATCTCTCCCTCAATTTTACAGATCATTTCCAGGTGAGTCAATTTTTACAGCCAAAACGATTAAAGTTCTTCACCTGAACTGCTCAAGGTGCAGCCAGCATCCTGTGGCAGGGCAATCTGCACTTATTCATGCCTCCACATTGGGAAAAATGCAGCTCCAGTGACTCAGGCAACTGTCCCACTCCTGCAGGATTAGTTCCCCTGACCCCCTACAGTCAACCAAGAGTTAACTCTTCCTTTCTTGACCATCAGTTGGGCTTGACTTCCACCACCCCCCGCTTTTTCATTTAAGATAAACACACCACCCTAAAACAGAGAGAAAAAAGCTGATGTAAGTGTGAATGACATGTCTTGCTCCAAAACTGAGAGGAGCAAGCAGCCCTTTGAACTGGTTTATTTTAAGGCAGACTAAGTTCCTCCTCGGCCTTGTGTGAGCAGCCAGCATCCTCCCATCCATCCCTCCATCCATGGATCCATTCATCATCCATCCATCCATCCATCATCCATCATCCCATCCATCCATCCATCCCTCCCTCCGTGTGCTGTGGCCCAGGCTCTGGGCATGTTTTCCCTCAATGCTGGCCCAAGAGATGAGCTCCAGCCCATCTCATTTCAGCAGTGTCATTTGCAGGTGAATGCCCAGGCCCCAGCAGTGAGGGACAGCAGCTCTGTCCCTCCTGCACTCCTGCCTGCTCTCTGTCCCCCTGCAAGGAGCGGGATGAGCTCGCTGCTGGAGCAGCCAGTGCCTTGTGCAAGGTGAGCTGTGCAACACAGCATCTTCCACAGCTTTCCAGAACCTTCTCTTCAGACCATGGCTTCGTGCTGCTGTCTCTGGAGAGCTCTGCCAGCCTTGGCTTTGCCCACGGAGGGCTCTTGTGACAGCCTACACCATCTTGCTGTTTTCCTTGACTCTTTGCAGGCTTCCTTAGCTTTCCCCTCTGCAGCCCAAGAAGACAGCCTTGGGAAAAGGGAAAGATCTGCTGCACCTTCCTGAGCAGCTTCCCTCAGGAGCCTGGCAGCAGGGGGAGGTGGTGGCTGAAGCCCCAGGAGCACTGCCCAGCACAGCTCCTGCCCTCAGGGCTCAGAGGTGTCCACAGCCCACGGCCCCTGACCAGGACTGAGTCCCCCTGGACACAGCCTGCAGGTGAGAGCTTCCCACACACACACAAGGACACCAGCTGGCTCTATCTGACCATCTCCCCAGGGCTTGCCACCAGGCCTCACAGCTTCCATCTCCCCAGGGCTTGCCACCAGGCCTCACAGCTCCAGCTCAAAGTTTTGGGAAGAAAAGGATGAATCAACAGCATAGCAGAAAAGTATCATCATCCTTTCACAATGAACCCGTATTTGAGGCCAAAACTCACAGATCAAACACTGGGATGCAAATCATCTCTGAGCCAAAGCAGTGCAAGATTTATTAAGTAAAAAAGTCCTGAAGATCTATAAAAGGCAATTATTGCACTGATCCACACATTTTCATACACTTCTCTCATCTGACAGCGTGGCCAGGGCGCAGGACCACGCTGCCTCCTCCCTCAGGCTGGGGCAGCTGCCCAGGAACAGCTCCCACAGCATTCCCAAGCACTGCATCCTGCCAGCTTTGCCAAACCCATGGCACCCATTCCAGAGGGGTCCAGCCCCACAGTGCTCTCCCATTTCTACCTCCTCTGCTGATGAACTAAAGCCCATACTATGTAAAGCACATAAATCCAAGGACAAATGACCTGCTAAACCCAGAGCTTGGATCCTGATCAATGGCTCCTAAATCACTGCCAAAAAGCCCCATACATTGCAAATGGGGTCCCTTCCTTGGGCATGAACCCCTCCTGGCAGGCACTGCAGTCACTCTGGGGATTCCAACAGCACAGGGATTTATACAGGCTGTGCACACAGCACTTTCCCACCAGCATTTCAAAATTCTGACTGTGTTTCAGCATCTCAGACACAGCCAGTGTTGGGTTTTGTCTCCTGTTGAGGTCTCACTCTAGTCATGAAGAACTGACACTTGTGTTGAACAGAAAAGAAAAAATAATTTGCTTAAAGAACTGCACATTATCCCCATTATATAAAATACTTATAATGGAATATTTCCTTTGCATAGATCATTAACTGGCTTATCACTGTTCCTCCTAATTTATTTTCTAATTTTCCTATTGTTTAAGCAGTTGTGTAAAATCTGGCTTCAGTCCCAGAGAGTCAAAGAACTCCACAGGACTATTCATATGGAGTCCTGTGGAAGCCTTGTGCAACTGTGGCTTCAGAGCTCTGAAAAATTACCTTTCAAAGCCATGGCTGTGTTTTGGTGCTTATCTGTAACACACACTTTGCTCTCTGGGTGGGATCATCAATCTCTCTGGAGCACAAGCATGTTTGAGGCACTGCTACAAGCTCCACGCCTGGCCTGCATCTTTTCTCCAGCACGAGTACAATTCTCATCTCTTCAGTTTTAGCACAGACCTTTGAATAACATCAGTTCATCAGTGATCAGTGTACAATGGATGAATTTCTAATCTTGACAACTACTCCCTTAGCCAGTATTGACATGAGACTGAAAAGGGACAAACCTTATGAAGGAGAAAACAGAAGAATCACCGATTTCTTTGCAGCATCCTTCTGCAGAACAAACATTTCAACTCTGACTTGTGGATTGTTCTGTCACATTTGATATGCTACTCAACATTCTCATTTTGTTTGAATTCATCAATACAACAGCCCTCCATTTAGAAGTGCCCTCCTCACAGGAACACAGCATGCAGATTTGGAATTCCAAATCTATTTCCAGTTTTGACATTTCAATGTGAAAAACATTTACTCTTGGCAAAGGATACCCTCTCGTTATCAGAAAAACACAAGCCTCAGAAACCCATTACTTGCTACAATACCACTAAAACCATTAACATCTAAATCATTCTTGTTTGATTTCTGCTGGCATTATTTCACTACAATTACCAAAACCCCAGCCCCACGGTAAGACACAGTGATAAAATGTCTTTCTTTCATGCAGTTGGAATGGCTACAGTGGTTGTTCCAGCCCCTGGCAGTGCTGCCACAGCCCAGGGCCCTTTGGACACAGAGCCCTGAGGAGCAGCAGGCTGGGAGCAAGAGCTGCAGGCCTGGATGGAGCTGCACAGCCCAGAGCTGGTTTGTGGCACAGCAGGACCCCACAGGCCTAACCAGGAGCTGGGCACTGCCAGCAGCCCTCCTGCCCTTCACAGCAGCTACCAGGAGACAGACAGTGCACACAAAGAGCACATCTGACTCTTTTCAGGATGTGTTCCTCTACCTCAGCATTTGGAAAGGGGGAGACTCCCTGCAGCCTCTCTTTATTTCCCAGACAACCCAGGAAAACACTCCAAAGTGCTCCCTAGCAGGGCAGAGGCTGGCAGAGGAACACTGGTGACACAGGAGGGAGCCTCCCTCCCCAGCAGGCAGCACTGTCACCTCAGCTGAGCCCCCATGCCTTACTGCTGCTGCTCTCACCTCTGTGCTGAGCTGGATGCAAAGGAGGAGAAGCTGCAGGCTGTGATGCCCCGAGGCTCCCTGGCCTCTCAGCTGCCCCTGCCCTGGGCAGGGTCAGACCAGGGTCACCAACCTCTGCAGGTCCCACTGGGAGCTGGAGCCTGCTCCACACCTGGAAACGAGACACCCCAGCAGGGGCTGTGGCAAGGTGAGCTCTGGGACTGACCCAGGAATGGGCAGAACAGCTCCCTGGTCACAGGAGGAAAAACTGCTGCCATCACTCACATCCTGACAAACTGAGAAAAACCTAGTGCTCACCTAAAGGCTTCTTACTCACTGAACAGCAAATAAACTGCTTTGTTGCCTCTATCAATTTTATAGCACCAGTTCAGGCAGAGGGGAAAGGCCACAGGAGGGGAAGGGCTTTACTGCTCTGTAAGGCAGGTCTGAAGTCAAACAGAGATGCAGGGATATTCTGAAAGGGCAACAACGACCCTTCCTGCCTCCCCAGTGCTTGCCTGCCAGCAGACTGCTGTTTACTGACAAATATTCACTGTATGCTCCCACCCATGCAAGTAAATGGAATCAGGCAGCAAAGTTTGATCCTGTAAAACAGAGACTTTTACTGTTTGATGCTCTCTCATCCCCTGAGCTGATCTCCCCATCCCAAAGTCTCCCTGGGCTTTCACTCACAGTTCAACATTTCTCTCTGTGGAAGGAACCCTCATGATGACTTCTAAAAGCTCTTTAACCTTCATGATGACTTCTAAAAGCTTTGTGAACCAAAATGGCTTTAGGAAAATTGGTTTCTGTTACAATATTTCAATTAGATTGCTCTGTTAATAACCAACAATGATGCCAATCACTACCTTACTCTTAATATTTGCAGAACAAGGAGGAAGAGGCAGGTACTAGGGGTGTAAGGGGTGGGAAATCAAGAAATGTCACCCCTAGCTCAGCTGGTGACCTTCAGCTACTTCCTCTGATTATCTCCCACTCCTAAAAAGACAGGAAACCCTTTTATTCCTGGTAATGCAGACCTGCATTCTCCTCTCAGTTCTGTTATCAACAAGATAGCAAGATTGGCTCTCTTGTTTTCAGACACATAGCAAAACCCAGTTATTCTGTATTTGTTTTCAATTACTCACCTTTCCTCCAGAAACTGGGGCCACAGGCCCTTACAGCTACACTACTTGAAAGACTGGGGCTGTATCAATGTTGGGACCTCTCTAATAAAACTTGCAGCAGATGGGAGGGTGAAGCAGGAAGGGACTCACCAACCACACTCCTGGTTCCCCAGACATCCCAGTCCCTGTTTCTGTACCCAAAGGAACACTTCCACGAGCAATCCCTCACGAAGGCATTCCAAAGTGTTCAGTGAATTCCACACGCAGTGCAGCTGCACTGCTGAAGCTGCTGAAGGCCAGGCCCAGGTGCAGCAGGAATGTGGGCACAGCCCAGCACCCTCCTGTGAGCTGCAGGCCTGCACTGCTCCCTGCAGTGCCACTGCTCTGCTCTGCTGTGGCTCTCCCCAGCTGCAGCACGACTGCCTCACTGACCTGCTCGTTGAGGCAGATGACAGGGAGAGCTCAGGAGAGGCGGATCTCTGCCACCCCTTCACGCTGGGAGAGTCACTGCTTCGGCCATCAGGAATTTCTGACTGGAGTGCTTGGGCCTCTCCAGGGACAACAGCTGTGGGATCCTCTCCCCCAGGTTCTACCAAGAGCAAAGACAGAGATTAGAATGAATGATAATGCAAAACACTATTGAGGATTCTGCAGCCTAGAGATAAGATTTTAAAGAAAAAATTAAGTTATGAACATTTGAATACCAACATCTCATTCCCACATACTTATTTTCCAAAACTTTGACAGTTTCAAAGGTTGAATTTCTTTTTGTGTATATTTAAAAAAGGAAACCAACCAACAACTCCCTGAGAACCAGAAATGTTTCACTGTTGAGTTTCAAGCACAAGGAGAGAAATAAAGGGTGAGGATGTGTTACACACTTCTTAAGATGGAACTTTATTTCAGAAATTAGCAAGCACTTAATGAGTGCTGTTGGCTGCTTGTGCTACCAACTCCCTTCAGCCCCTGCACCAGACAGCTTGAGCTTTAAGTTTTACAGACCAAGTTAACAGGCTTATTTTCAGTTGTGATTTACTTCCTTATGCAGCTCAGACAAGGTCAATGCACTGACATTTCCATTTAAGAGGAAAAATAATTTCTACACAACACAACAGCCAAAAATTGAAAACCCTTCTGCTGGTTTTTGTGTCACGTGTTTTGTTCAATTAAAAGATGAACACTTCTCTGAAAAGACACCTTCTGCCCCTCCAAAGAAAAAAAAAAACAGGTTAAAAATTCTGGCATGAAAAGACAGACTGCCCTCATGCCACACCCCCAGATATTTGCAAGTGAGTTACTGAACTAAAATATCACTCAGGACACTAAGCCTCTGCAGAGCTGAGACCTGATCAGTCACAGACATGTCCTGGCTGCACCCAGGCCCCAGCCATCTCCTGCTCAAACCACTGACTCTCTGCCCCTCAGCAATGGTTTGGACAGAAATGGCCACGAACTTTAATTAGAGTGTGGAGGAGCTTCACAGTCTTTGGATTCAGCTCAGCTTGCCCTTTCTCTCCACCTAACAGGCATAATTAAATATCAGGGGCCATATTTTTGCCTGCTGAAAACAACCAGCAGATCCCAGTGAGTCGCTTGTCCAGCTAATGAAACAACTTTCTGAAATTAGCAGGGTAAAAATAGCAAAGGCCTGTGCAATAATGCAGCCCAGCACAGTTAATATTTATTGAATCAAATTATTTAGCACCAACATATATCAAATCCTTATGGAGCCTTCCCCTTAGACAAAGCACAGCCCCATGTTTAAAAGTTATAAAGACTGGGAAACATATTTTAAGCTTAAAGATGAAAAGCAAGATGACGTAAATCAGGAACAGATGATTAAAATGTCACCACAAACAGAGTGAGGTTAAATTACATCAACCAATAGCACAGGAGAGACAACGGGAGAGAGGGAGGAGGAAATTAAAATAAACGAACAAAGCCCCAATCAAACCAAAGACCTGCTTTAATTCTGTACAATTCCACCACTTCCATGAGAACCCAAAGCAAGTGGGTAGGAATGCAGACAAAGCCTTGGATCTACCAGCTTACCATCAGGCCATGACTGCCTTCTTCCTTTCCCATGCTGCAATTCCCAGTTAAATACAAAGGCAACTGCTGTTAACAAGGAACCAAGAGGAAACAGGCTTCAGGCATCTGTACCCTCCCCTGCACATCACCTTCTTGCTTTTCCAGTTGTTTATAAACAGTCATCCGAGTGCAGATGTTGTGCACAGAACTCAAAACTGAAATTCCAACCATTATTGGTAGCTCAGAGAACAAAGTGTAATGGAAATTGTGCAGGTTTGCCAGAAACAAATGAGGTGCTGCCACATTCTGAGTATGATGCAGAATGATACATTTGACTCAAGTTATTTTCTACGTGACCACTCTTTTGGAAAAACTCCATGGTTTTACATCAGCTCTTCCCAGAGCCTGCAGGGCAGCACACACAGGACACAGAAACCCCAAAATCCACAGCAGCCCATCCCTCCCTTCCAGAGGTGGAAATCAAGGCTGGGACCCCATTATCCAATAACACACTGCCTCTTCTTCTGCTATAGAAGAGGAACAGCTTAAAATCTTTTATCCTTGGGATTCCTTTAACTTTTACCCTTCACACAGAATGGATTATGCCCTGCACCAAGGTCTGCAGGAAACAAGGATAAAATTCATACTATTATACTGCTGTCTTCATTTCTTTTTGTTCTGCAGAGCTGTGCTGGAAGAGGCAGCCCTGGAGAGAGGCAGAGATGAAGAGCACAGGGATTTGTGAGAGCTGGGGCAAAGGACACTGCCACGTTTTCCTGACAGCAGCACGTCCCACTTGGGCAGGGGGACTCTCCAGAACTCAGCCTCTTCAATTAGAAACCCACAGGTTCTATTAGGCTGAGGATGCTGTTGCAAACCCCACACTCAAAGACAGATGCTCCCTGCCACAGCAGCCAGGCAGCACAAGGCAGAGCAGACCAAGGATCTGAGGCTGCGCTCCCAGGGCACACCCTGGTGATGCTGGGGGCTGTGGGAGGATGGAGGAGCAGCAGGCTGCCCTTCCTCCCAGCCAGGGAGGAGCTGCAGCCATGCATCCCCACCTCCCACTGTGCCCCAGTGCAGCCAGACAGAGAGGGGCAACAGCCTGCCTGAACAGCCTAAAACCACCACAAGGATTTCATTGCTTCAGTCTCAGGACAAAAATTTCCTGAATCCAATCCCCACAAATGCTTCTGCAGCTCCCAGTTACCAACCCCCTCTCACAGCAAGGACCCTGGAAGGCAGCAAGCAGCACCCACCCTCACCTGCACTCCAGTGGTCATGTGGCCACCCTCAGCACCTCCATTAATCCAGAACCTGGCACCCCTTTCCAACCCACTGGAACGTGCCCCAGATAAAGCACATCCACCCTCAGCACCTCCATTAAACCTGAACCAGAACCTGGCACCCCTTTCCAACCCACTGGAACGTGCCCCAGATAAAGCACATGCACACACAACACACACAAACCAAACTAACACATTTATTATGGGTCATGCCTATGTTCCACACTAAAATCAACAGTAAATCACTTTAGGGTCTGTTTGATCCTTATGCTGGTTGGGCTTTTTTCCCCTTAAAGGGTCTAGAAGAACAACAACAGATGAAAGATCATTTCTTTGGGGAATCCAGCACTTCTTAGTGTGGACCAAGAGGGGACAATAGGAAATGTGACTGACCTGTGGCTGCTGGCAGCTCTTTGACAGCAACTTCCTCTTTGTTTTGAGCACTTTCTGCCTTCCTCTCACCCGTTTTCTTCCACCGTTTATTTACTTGATCCACCAGGAACTTGAACTCACTTCTGTGTTTGTTTCCTGAAAGGTACAGAGCATCAGTGACCACCCCACAGGACTAAGGCATGGCACAAACACTGCAAGGACGTGAACAGAAATGGACACCAAAAACTGAATTAAAAGCATTTCTGTTACAGCAGGTGAAAACCGACCCAGCTGTGATATGTTCCACATCCTATTAATGACCCAAATCCGTGTCTGTGCTGTTCCAGAGCTGCCACTGTCCAGAGCACAGATGAACACTTCAGGCTCTGTGTCATGCCCATTGCACTGCTGGGACTCAGATCCTTTAAGTAAGGTAATAATGCAAGTACTCTCTGCACTTTCAATCACATTTGAAGCACTCCTCTGGTGCTCAGCCAAAGCAATGGAATTGTTTAAGCCTGACACTGCAAGTGCTTTACTCAGAGGCTGGGAAAACACCCAGAGCTTCATCAGGATGCTGTGGGTCACCTCACCCAGGCAGGCAGGGAGGGACCCGCTGCCAGGAGGGGACAGCCAGGAAGGGCTCAGGCTCTGCTCCAGGGACAGGGACAGGAGGAGAGGGAACGGCCTCAGGCTGGGCATCAGCAGGAATTGCTTCTCAAAGGACTGCCAGGCACTGTGGCACCGCCCCGAGGAGCCCATTCCATGACTGACCACCCTTCCTGTGAAGAAATTCTTTGAGATATTCCACGACAAAACACCAAGTTCTGCCCCACAGAAGGAAACAGGTTTGACACAGACTCCCTTTCCCTGAGTAGCTGAAAACACCACATAAGGCCAAAAATTCTGTTAATAAAAAGCAAGTTCTGTCCCAGATGTCGTGTCTGAGCTGCTGCACTCTCATTATGGAATTCCTCTGGCGCTTCAGTTTTTCCAGCATTACTATCTTTTGTTGTGCTGGCTCATGGCAGAACTACAAAGCTTTTTGCAAAGAAATGTCCTGGCACACCAGCAGTGCTCAGCTACACTGTAAATCACTGTGGTGCTGAAACACCCCAAGCACATCCCAGCAAACTGCAGCAACGTAAACCAGCCCCAGACACAGCGACAAATATTCAAAACACAGACAAAGCAGCAGACCTCCAAAGAACACGGCAAATGAAAAGATTTATAAGCAGAAAAGGCAACCAAATCATTTTTTTTTCACAGACGTATTTCTTTTCCTGTAGATTTTTTAACTCTTTAAATAGAGACCACGACAAAAGCAGAGTGGGCTGAGGTGTCCCCGAGTGCTGTGGGGCAGAAGGAAATGACAGTGGCTCTAACTGCCAGGCAGAGCTCTCAGCCAGCTCCCATCCTCACGTTCATCAGGCCAAAGCATTAATTGCTATTTCATAAACAGCAAAAAATGCCAACAGTGCAATGTGCAAATTGCCAAGAGGAAAAGTGCAAAGAAGCAGGAAAAAAGCATTTTCTCCCAAACAGTTTGTCCTGCCTTTCCCCAAGGCTGTTCACAGCCCCAGTGTGTTTTTTCATATGGAAAAGCAGAACAAAAATATATTTGAGGATTTTTATTCAGAATTTACACCAGAGTTCATTCATTCATTCAGCTGGGAATTAGGGTCTGGGGTGTAAATGCTGTAAAATAAAAGGGAAAAAATCCTTCATTGTGTAAGAAAGCTTTTTAAAGTCCATCTGTTTTACAGTGAAATAATGGCATTTGATAAGAATTCTTTAATCTCAAACTGTTCTTGCATTTTAACATGCAGTTCTTTTTTCATGCTTATGATTTCTTCCTTATTATTTTATGAGAAATAATTACTTGATTCCACTTACCATTTGCCTCTTTGGTCAGTATTTTTTATTAAATTTTAAAACCATATCTTCCCATTAAAATACTTTTCTGTCTTCCCCTTTTTCCTATTTTTTTAACTTTTCAATTTTCAGTGAACCTGCTTGAGACTACCAAGATCTCCAAGTGATTAGTTTTGTAGCCTTGCCCTTTCAGCAATCTAAACTCAATCAAATACCTGTCTTTGAAAAATTAAGACAGTATTTAATATATTTTGTTCTAAATGTGTACAACAGGCCAGGAAAATAAACCCAGGAGCAGAAGGCCCTTCAGAGCAGTGGCCACACAGCTGCACATCCCACACCCTGCTCTGCTCTTTTCATGGCCAGCAACCATGGCAGCACACTAAGAAAGAACAAAGTGCATAAATAGAGAACCTTTGGAGGCAATCAGTGTGTGTATTTTAGCTCAAAGGAAAAGAAAGTAAATTTAAAAGCAAAATGAGGTGAAATTTGCATGTCACTTACGATATTCAGCGTGGATCTCATCAATTTCTTCCTCTGTCTGGTCCTTTGTGAAGGTCAAGCTCTACAGAAATCACACAAACGTTTTTAACATAAACAAAAAGATAAAGCTGCAGACTTTGAAATTAGACTTAAAACTGGAAGAAGGAACTGTTTGTTTTCCCCCCAGCTTTCAGTACCTCATCACATTAATCCACATTTCCAGAACATGTCCAGTGTCCTGCCCTGCTTCCACGAGTCACCAGGACCACGCCAGCCCAAGGAACACCCAGCACATGTGGGTCATAAAATATTTCCTACCACTGTGCAACAAACAGGTTTCAAAAGTCACCAAAGTATCAGATGTCATGGGAAAAGAACAGGCACTCTTGCCAATACGGAAGCATGGGATTTGCTAGCTAAATCCTAGAGAATTCTAGGAAGCAAAATACTCCCCACACTGCCATGAAGGGTCAAAATCTTCCAGTATGGCCAAGGAGAACTTTACTCAAGAATTTTTATTGCTGTCAAAAATTGCTCCTACTGAAAGGGTTTGGGCATAAAGCTCAGCAGAGCACCCAGGGCTGCCCACGACAAGTGGTGTGAGAAAATCAGGTTCACCACAGGATGCTAAATGTGAGTTCTAACATGCAAGCTGGGAATTCCCACAACAAAGCCATGGGCAGACATTCCCAGTGGCCAGTCTGCAGTTTCTGCTGGCCACCCCTCTGTGAGAGCCAAGCTCAGTCACTTACATTCTCACCAGGTTTATTGCACTCCAGCTGAACCCGAATCTTCTCGTTCTTCTCCAGCTCTTTAACAACCTCTGCAACTGTTTGGAAATACAAGAAAGGGATCACTGAATAAGGAGCTGGGTAACAAAAAGCTGTAACAGCACAGACTGCCAGTACCCTGCATTTCAAACACAAGCAGCATTAGCCCTCAGAGGGAGAGCTCAGACTCCAATCCAGACAAACGTGCTGCCCTTCCACATCCTACCAAACCTCCCTCCTGCACACAGCAGTGCTTGTGGCACACAGGCTGTCGTTCAGAGAGACTGTCCATTTTACACTGCATGTTTCAAGGGAAGACACAATAATTGCATCTACCATTTATCTTACTTTGTCCCCCAAACCACCTTCCAGGGCAACAGAACCTTGTGCAGGCTCAAGGGGAAAGCCCACAGAGGAATTACAAGCGACTTCAGCAATTGTCAGACACATCCAAAGCCTATAAACAACATAACTGCAACATTTAACTAGAGCCACAGCTATGCAGAACCCTGCACAGTTTACTCTGACATTTGCTGTTACAAATCTCTTTCTGCATTTCATCATCTCCACAGCACTGCCAAGCAGCTGTGGGCAGTTATTAAACAAACACTTCACCATACAGTGAAGCAGGCAGAACAAAAGCTCATTAAGCTGTGAAAGAATAAAACCTGTTCCAAACTGGTTTAAGCACACTCCAGGAATTTGGCACCTGTGCTTCCTCAGAAGCTCAGCTATTGGTGTTCCACAGCAACCCCAGGCTCCCTGCTACCACCCAAAATGCACGTCTGCATCTTAAGAGCGGGTTTAATAATTCACAAATCCTTTGTGCTGGACACAGGAGCAGTTTGGCACTGCTGGGTGAGCAGCTGGAGTGCACAGCACACCCCAGAGCTCCTCCCTGCCCTGGGTGAGCGAGGCAGAGGCTGGGTGCCCTCCATCCACCAGCAGCACGGAGGGAAGGCTCAGCCTCAGCACCCCCAGCAGTATTTTGCACTGATCCTGACTCACCAAGACAAACCTTTCCAGCTCTCCCAGCAGTCACACAGGGTTCCTCCCACCCTAACAGAGAGCTAACAGAAGGGGAATGCAGACAGGGATGGCAGCAACCTCCCTGCAGCCCCTCACTCACCTGACTTGGGGTTCAGGGAGTCACACTGAGCATTGTACATGTGCACAAACTCCTGGTGTCTCTTAATGAGCTGCTGGCGGGTCCCAGAGGTAGACAGACCATGCTCCTTGAGCTTCTTCCTCAGATCTCGGTCCGACAGCAGGTTATAGACAACTTTGGACATCAGCTTCCTTTTGTGATCAGAACTGCCACAGGAAAACAAGAGAGACTCTATTTAATTAACACTCCTGTCAAAATCAAACTATTTACAATTGGTACCTCACCCACTCAGGATAACACACACGTGAAAGAAACTTGGGGTTTCCATCCCAGTGCTGGCCATGGCTTACTTGAATCAGCTGGAGAAATATTAGCAGTATTAAAACATCAAGCCAAAACTCAAATTAGGAGATTTTTCAGCTTTCTGGAAAAATGTCTTTGAGAAAAATAGTTATGCACCTGAAGGCAGCAGTTCCCAGCTAAGAGAAAGGTAGTTTGGTGATACAGAGAGAGACATTAAAGATAAGTAACAGTGCTCCTAGAGGAATAACTTCTAAAGCCAAAATTTACTGCTTTCCACTGCTTTCTGTCAGGACTCAACACTCCTGGCACAGCTGGGGAAAACATCTTAATTACAGGAAACTGCCAGAGAAAATTCAAGTCCTAGCACAACTTTTGTCACCTAAAATTAGCAGAACATTTCCTCCTGTCAAATCAGCTCAGGCTTCCCTACACCTCCTGGTGAGATACTCTCAAACCAGGAAAAACAAAGGGGCCAAAACCCATCTGCAGCCTTACTCATCTTCTGTGACTGCAGCAATTCAGAGAGGAACAGCATTTAATCAGACATTTTTCCTTCTGCAGCAAAAAAAGCTCAGCTGCATTACTCTGGATTAGAGAGCAGTTAACAGCTTTCCACTGTGAAAATGAGAGATTTATTTGAAAGCTATTCAGCACTTTTGACTTACCACATTGAAATTTCAAGGTTAAAAAAAAAGCCTTACACAAAAGCTGTCAATAATTCATTTAGTCTCATCCAGCCCTGTAGCATGGCTGGTAAACAGAAGATGGATTACCACAATACACTCTCTAGGGAAGCTTTTTTCAGAATATTTTGGGAAATATAAAGACTTTCACTGAACAATTAAAGTAAATCTTTTGAAAGTCCTACAGAAGCTTGGTGTGTATTGCAGCTCACCAGCAGCATGACCTAGAGTATGCTGACAGCAGGAAACACCTCACAACAGGTTTAAATCCTAATCTTGGCTGGGTTTGCCCATGCCTGAGAAACACGGAGTTCCCTGGAAACACACTCACATGCTGGAATGACCCTGGGGAGCTCCGGGGGCTACGTGAGCAGCTCTGGGTTTGCCACAGCTCTCGCCACAGCCGGGTTTGAGAACAAACAGAGCTGACGTCCTCAGGGAAGCTGGGGATGTGCTCTGCCAGCACCAGCCACAAAGCAGGCACTGCCACGGGCCAGCACTGCCCAGCCTGCCAGCCCAGGGCAGTGTCTGCTCCAACGCCTGCTGAAGGCCTAAGCACTCTGCAGATTAAATAAGCACAACTCTAAATCCTGTCAGGGACATGGGCGTGACACCAAGGACAGATCTGGCTTCTTTTTCCATTCATTAAGAACAGAGAAAGCACCAAACCACTCCAAATGGAAATTAAATGTAACATCAGATTTCAATATTCATTTACCATTTTTTCATCTGGAAAGTCCTTTAGCTTACAGACTGCACTCTAAGCATGACAGGGCAAAACAAGAGCTTTAACATAAAAATATTTTCTAATTCAGGTTTCGGGGAAATTGGAAAAACAAGCACTGAAGTACAAATCCTCCCAGTTCTTTAGTCTGATCAGTCAGAAATAACAACAGCCTAAATTTCTGCTGTAAGTAAAACAAACTGAAACCCCACTTGTGATGTGAATGTGGTGACCATGACCAATGCTGGGGCAGGGGCACAGAGCCAAAGGAATGCATTCATCTTATGGAAATCGAGATCTTCAGGAAACCTCAACAGCCCCACAGAGAGGACAGAAAGGTGCAATTTTTATTCTTTAACTTGACAGCTATTGAAGAAAATGTCTCTTGGCACACCTGAACCAGAGGAAGCAATTCCTTCACCAAATGAAAAATGGCAATCAGTGTTATCTGAAGGGAATTTTAATGCCAGGGAGCAGGAAGGTGACAAGAACAATGCACAGACTAAGCTCTCCCTCAGCTGACTTTCTTAAAGCACTGGCCACTGTTTTCTTGCCACTAAAAGCCAAAGAGTAATTGAGCTGGCAACCCACAGCCTCTCTCAAGGGGGCACAATCCCCACAGATATTTCAGAGTGCTCCTCAGAGCAGGGGAGCCAGAACCAAGCAGAAAGCACTGCTGTTACACCCCAGCAACACACAGCTCAGCTCAGCACTGCTCAGACCACCACGTGCACGGGGAAGCTCCCAGAGCTGCCCTTACCTTCGCAGGCTCTCCTTCTTCTCCTCTCTGCTCAAGCAGCTATCCAGATGTTTGTTTATGTATTGCTCCAGAATAGCAACCTCACACACAGGACATTCCACTGGAAGCAAGGGAGAAGGAACTTACTAGTGTGGATTAACAGCAAAGAGCAAATGTTTTCCTCTGAGGAACTGAGAGCTGGGACAGTAACAAAGCACACTAGTCCTGAGCTGTCTGGTACTGAACTGAAGTTACATTTGAGTCCTCAGAGCAGGAACAAAGAACACTAAACCCTCTCACTGCAGGTGTTTCACAAATACTGTCTGACCAACTGCTCTGCATTCGTGGAAATAATTTCCATGTGATGCATGCTCAAAGATTCAAAAAGATCACAGAGTGGGAAGCAAGTCAAAGTTTTAATTGCTCAAAAATAAACAAACAGTAAAATTTCATGTGAGTTTCAACTTATCAACACAAGCAGGTCTGATGTACAACCATGACAGGTTTCCTGTGGCTCCTTTCCTGGCTGTGGTACCTCTTTCAGCAGGATCCATCCAGCTAATGAATACATATGGACTTCAGAGTTCCAGATGAATAAATCATTAAACAAAACAACAGCTAAATTTGAGCTAATAAGAACCAGGGGTGTACTCCTACATGGTGCTTTGTTTTAATTTAGGCTTTCAGCTAGGTCAATAGGATGGCTGCCAGCACATCAGAACTAAGAGGATTCTGCCATTTCATTGTGGTTGACTGGTATAAATGAGCATTTTCATGCCTCAAAGTAAATTCACCTTAACTCTCAAGAATTACAAAAGAATAAAGCAGATAACTCTTCTGGAGAGTGTGGGAACAGAAATATTAACAGAACTGCTGCCATGCTAATTTTGAGTTCAGGCTCAACCCTCAAATAACAAACATGTTATAAAATAACCTGCTCAAGGATAAAAGGGCAGAATAAATGCCAGTGTCTGTCTAGTCATTAGGGGGAAGGAGAAGAGAAATTACTTCATTTTTACTAAAGACTGTTGCACAACTATTGTTTTTCCCTGTTGTTACTCAAAGCAAAGGAATCCATAAGCACTGGACTCCACTTAACTCCTTGGCAGCAGCTCAAGCTTTCCCGTGAAGACCAGCTGGGAGCAGAGCTGGGAAGGCAGCACGGGCCAGTTAAAGGGGAAGGAGTGAGTGTGCAGCACAGCCCGGAGCCACAAGGAGCAATGGGATGGGTGCCTCTAACACACAGAGCCAGCCACACTGGGGGAGAGCAGGACACAGTCAGAAACCAAACACCTCACCTTTCCTGTCTCCTTTGAGCACAGACGTAGAAGGCTTTTCATGACTTTGGGTGCAGCCAGGCACCTCCTGTGATCTCACTTGGCTGTCTTTGCCAGCAGCCTCTGCAGAAGTGCTGTGTAGGCCATGCTGTTCCTCGGTTTGCAAACTCTTCTGAGCAGTCCACCATGCCTTTGTGGAGGTGCAGACTTTGTCCTTTCCCAAGGAGCTGTCAACCCCTGGCACCTCTGTAGACTCTGGCTGAGACACTGGGCTGCAGTGGCTCCCAGCTGGACGCTGGCTGTGGGCCAGGGGGGATGGAACTGGGGGAGCTTCCAACACCAACTGCAACAGCTGCTGCCTAGAAGCACCAGGGGAAAACACAGCTAGCACACTGCACGGCGTGAGGAGCTCGAGAACTTGTCTGCCAACATGCTTGTTTTGGCTGTGAAAATGCCAGGACTGAGGGCAAAGAGAAGGGAGCAGGCCCACACTGCCCTCTCCCAGAAAGTGGTTTGGGGCTCAGGAGCAGCTGGGTGATGACATCTCACAGTCCCACACCCCAGGACCAGGGAAGCCAGGGCAAGGGGATGCTCCTGGCACAGCCCTGGGCTCTCCAATGGAGCACTGTCACCTGCCACCCCCTCCCTCAGCATCAGAGGGAATCACTCCAATTTCTCACTAATCACAGAAACTCTGACAGGTGTGATTGCAGATTTGGACACACGTGACCAGACCAGAAGTTCATCCATCATTCAGCAAGCCCACAGAAATCACACAGAGGTGGAGGGGTCCAGCCTGGCCAGCTCACCTGGGAGCTGATCCTACAGCAAACATCAGCTCTACATCATGGTCAAAAACCTCTGCATACTGTGTATGGTCTCAGTGTTATCTGTGATACTCTTGAGAACGTAATGGAGTGCTGTGAGCTCTGAGCTGACAGGATTTCACCTTTCTGGCACAAAGCAGTAGCTGCAGCACAGCTGACAATGCTCAGTTTATGAGCAGAGCAGTGTCCTTCCCTTTGAAGGCTGAGAGATGAATCACGCAGGTGTCAGCGAGCCCAGATCCAGCAGGCACTGCCCAAACCCTCCTGTGAGACCCATCCTCCTCAGTCACTGACATGAGCCAGGGCAGGGAGCTAAAGACCACCTGTTTAACTAAAGATGGATGGTTTCTAAACATCCTCCCTCTGCTTCAACAACAGCATCAACAGCTTCCCACTTCTTTCCTTCAGGCCTGTAACACCCACAAAAACTCAGTGTCCTTCATCAGGCTCCTGGCTCCCATTTTACAGTCTGCTTACTTCTCTCTTGCTGAAGCAGCAATGAAGCAGAGTTGTTGGGAATCTAGGGCTTCCACATAAATAAATTCAGAGGAAGAGACAGAGCTGTGAATCTTCCAAGCAAGAACTCACCCAGATCAGCACTAAAAGCAATGTATCTCCTTGAATCCTGCTGCATTCCTGCTCAATCACTGTATCAGCAGTGACAGCACCTGCTCTCTCCAGCACCCAGAGTCGATGTGTTTATTCCTCTGACTCACTACCTGTCCAGTAACCCTGACTAGGAAACAGAGATAAACTTGACAGTAAAAACATTTTTCTTCCCTATGTATAAAGGAAACCAGAGATTCCTTTCAGCAAGCACTACTACTTTTCTATTTAACAAGGTGATGCAGAAACTGACAAATTTTCTCAAAATAATCTCTTTAGTAGAGGGCAATGAAATCAGTTCTTTACAATTCACACAAAACTTCAGCTGTCATTTTTAAATACACTGGCCTCACTGCAGCTGATAAGAGAAGTCTTCATTAAGGTCAGCTCGTGCAAATACTGCTCCTCATCTTTCTCTCCTGGCCTGGCCAGAGCAGACAGGTGAGGGAACAGAGAAGTGCCCATGGCAGTGCCCCCCAGGCTCCTGCCCCTCTGGGGTCAGGGTGTGCCCTCACCAGGGCACTGACAGCCACTGGAGCCCAGCCAGAATGCTCCTTCCCTTCACACAGAAAATCCATGGCCATAAGGACATGGACACCTCCAGTGAGAGCCCACCCTCTGTACAGGGAGGGAGCTGCATCCCACACACCCCCAGCCATCCTGAAACACCCACTGCTGAGCAGAGCACAACTGGGATCTGCTGGGAATGCTTCCCACTCCCTGCACAGCTGACCTTGGAGCACAGCTTTCACTCTGCTAAGTGCCACCAACATTACCATTTCCTTCCCCTCCAGGCCTGACTCAAGAAATGGGTTTGCACTTTGTGAAATGCTGAGAAGATTTAAGGCCTAATTTTCATAAACATCAAACTACCCAAGGCTCAAAGTCAAGTTAGAACATACCTGATCTTTCAAACGTGCTGAGCCCTTCAATCCCTGGATTGTGGATTTTTTTGGGGGTACAACCAAGGGGAAGCAAAGCAGATGGAGAAGGAGGGGGGAGAGAGAAGATTTGGACAGAGAGCTCTGACTGAATGACACCCATCCCAGTACAGGTCTCTGGACAAGCAGTGTCCCCTCAGCCCCAGGGACAGCCCCAGCCCAGCTGCCAGGCCCTGGACACCACACTGCATCCCCCACACAGCAGGGACCCCTTCCCACCCCCCTGCACTGCTCCCTCAGCTCCAGCCAGGCTCCACAGCCCCAGCTTCGAGTGAGAAACTGACTGAGCTCCAAGTCACAAAGGGAAAGGTTATTGAACTACTCTCACTGGTAAGATTTATACTAATCCATTAAAGCAGGCCAAAAAAAAATTAACATTTAAGATTCAATATCATAATGGATCCAAGTCAGCACTACTTGTTCCCCACAAAATTAGGCATTAACAAAAAAAATAGTAATGCATTTATCACTAGAAAGGACCAGAATTCAAGCTGAAACAGGGGAACTGTAGGATTTAAATTACTCAAATAAATCAATTAAATCTAGTAGTGGTCATATAGGAGATTAGATCTATCTACATTCTATGATCTTCAGAGAAAAAGTCTCTCATGAAATAAAGCCATCAACTGAACTATGCTTCTTGTCACTTACAAAGCCAAGAGTCTCATTGACTTCCAGCTCCAAGTTAATTTCAGAGAAAAATATGAAAGTGCATTTGTCTCCTACAGAGACAGGAACACCCATAGAATTCCCAGCAAATCACTAAGTGGCTTCTCATCCAAAGAAAACAATAGCAGGAGCTTCATGTATTTACTGATGTATCATCAACATGTCATACATGTTGTGATATTGTTGTGGTATTTTATCAAGTCATATTTATTCTGTTGTTCCTGTATTTGAAAGGGATGTGAAGTTCAAAAATTAATTAAAAACAAGCAGAAAAGTAGCTAAGAAATCAAGCTGAGAGCACAGCACTCCATTACTTTCCTTCCCCAAGAAAACTCACATTTCTAGTCTTTCAATACCTGTATTTTCCTAGCCAGAGACTTCACCAAAAGAATGCTCTGGCAAGGTGACCATAACCACTGGACAAATCCTTCTATTCAGACTCTCCCCTGCACACAGAGGAAGGATCTTGAAGAAAATCTTTGCTACCATTATTTCCCCCAGAGAATCCTGACATATCTCCCTACACACTGGCAGAGAGTTCCAGAGCAGCTAAGCAGAAGCAGAACCAAAGTAAGCCTGTAAAACCTCCACATCACTCGAGTGCACAGCAACCCTCAGCCAGAAGACTGCAGGATTTCTCCACAGTGCGAACATTCATCTCTGACAGAGCTTCTGTGACACCACGATTGTTGTGCTCAGTTCTCAGAGCGCTCCTCTCCAGGTCTGGTCACACACAGTCACACCCTGCCAGCTGCCAAGCCAGACAGCAGCTACAAAATCACATCAATACCTTGCAGAATTAAAGCTCTTCACCAGGTCGTCTAAAATCCGGTTGTTCTTCACCACAGATTCTGAGACTGCCTATAAAAGAAAGAAAAAGCAAAAAAAAAAAAAAAGAAAAAAGCCAAAACAAACCTAAACAAACAAACATTCAAATGCAGTGACAGTGAAAACAGCAAGTGCCCAGAAAATGTTCAAGTTATCAATAACTTGCTGCTTGGCTCGATGCCTCAACTACCCCCACTAAAGTGTTACAGCAATTAAGATGCTTAAAAGGTAAACACTTCTTCCCCAAAAATGTCTCATTAAAATAACTGCCTGAGAACTTAAGTCTGGGATATTAAGGCAAGAGGTAAAAACAAATCATAAAGCTAAAGCAACAAAGCCAAGTGTGCCCAGGCTCCAACAATGGTTTATTGCAGCACAGGTCTAATAATTTTGAAAATCAAACCAAACCATCTTCTGAAGGTGGTAAGAACTTTAAGCAACAAAGCGTGACAACTGATGAAGGGAAATGTTAATCTTCTGATTATGGAATGAAAATATGAATTGTGAACTGCCTCAGTGCATCCAATTCATTCTTTTTAAACAATTTCTGATTTTTACCTCACTGCAACCCTCTCTGCTGTTCTTTTAAACAAAGTTTTTATTATTTTTTAATTTTATTTTTAATTTGAGATGAAATGGGGCCACTTACAGAAGATAAGTGCTTATGTTTCAGCACTGCTGGTTTAAACGATGGAGTATTTTAACAAATTGACTTGAAATGTTTTGTGCCAGACTGCACACACAGCCCTGAGCCACACCCAGGCCTGATGCTCCATCCCTTCTGCCTGCACTGACAGAGGGGTGCCCCTGGAACAGGAGAATTCCAGCTGCAAGAGCACCACACCTTGCCCATGCAGTCAGAATTGATTATTTGGCACAGTCCAAAGGGAAAAGCTCCTGAGATTTGCCAAGATAAAAAATAAACTGAGGGGGAAAACCAAACCAAAGCCACACTCACCACACAGCACGTTGGACACTGTGTTTTGTAGGACAAAGACTTGCGGATACAAAGGGAACAATCTGGAAAAGGAAACACATCGTTTTGAACACTATTCCAAATGCAGTTCCACACCCTTGCCCATGGATTTCCTTGTAGGATAATGCAAGCTATTTCACAATACACAAATATTGAGAATACACCATTTTCACATGGAACTGAGATTGTCGTTGTTGCAAAAGAACCCCTTATTTATGCAAACATGTTTCAAAATCAAATATCAGCTCCTGCACCTAAAGCTGATGTTTGTTTCCTTTTGCTCCCCAGTGCCTCAACCCCCAGGTGGGGGCTGATGAAGGGTGCACAAACCCTCCATCAGCCCCACCACTGCAGCAGTGCTCACTCCCTCACCGTGTCTGCACCTAAAGCTGATGTTTGTTTCCTTTTGCTCCCCAGTGCCTCAACCCCCAGGTGGGGGCTGATGAAGGGTGCACAAACCCTCCATCAGCCCCACCACTGCAGCAGTGGCTGCACTGCTCACTCCCCCACCGTGCTGGGGTTTTGACATGACCAATGCTCATCACTTTCATCCTCCTGCAGAGCCCCAGACAAACTCACAACCCCCTCTTTTCCCCTTTCCAAAACCACACCACCTTGCTGAAAGAAGAGGCTAAAAAGGAGGGCAGACAGCACTGAAATGCTGAGAGACAGCTGAATGCCACCTCACCACCCCAGGAAGCCTCAGCAGACTGGGAGTGGAACACACCACACTGTCTCGGTAAATCTCTGTGTTTGTTACACTTTGGCAATTTATCCCCGACCTTTCATGGCCACTTCAGATTTAAAAAGTCTCGTAATTCTCCAGGAAAACACTCCCTCCCTGGATCATCATGGGTCAGGGTCTCAGCACCAGCTCCTGAAAGAGATCTGTATTCAGACTCTGTGGGAATGCACTGGGAAAGCAGCAGAAGCATTCATTAATCCCAACACGGTTTGGGTTGGGAGGGACCTTAGAGCTCATTCCATCCCACCCCCACCATGGGCAGGGGCATTTTCCACTTGACCAGGCTGCTCCAAGGCCAATCCAGCCTGGTCTAATGCACCAATTAACACTCAAAACCACAAATCCATCTAAATGCTCAAAGATCACTACATACCTAGTAAGAAGTGAAATAGGGTGAGAAACCCATAAAGAAACCAACTTTAACTGTATGAACAGGAATGAAGAGGTAGATCCAGGCAGATCCAGCACCCTCCCACGTGTGCAATGACTGCTGCTTGGAGCTGGGGTGAGAAACCCATAAAGAAACCAACTTTAACTGTATGAACAGGAATGAAGAGGTAGATCCAGGCTGCCAGCACCTTCCCACGTGTGCAAGGACTGCTGCTTGGAGCCTGTGCCCCGGGCAGGCTGCACCACCACAACTGGAGAGAATTTCCAGTTTTGTGGCTCCCCACACTGGCTTCAATGGTGAGAGCTTTGCCAAGCTAAACTAAACTTCATTGCCAAACTACAGTGCCCCCCTTCACGGAAGGAAGTGCTACAGATTCTGAACCAAACAATCACAAGCCTCTATTTTAACGAGAAAAGGCAAGGTACTTCCCTCCTAATCTGGCCTCAGCAAAGTGCTTGGGGCAGGTTCCAGCAGATATCTCCCAGGGCAGACAGAGCAGCATGGAAAATTTGAGCTATTAATGCTCTGCACATAGAGCTTTGCAATTGTACCACCCTCAAGATGTTAAAACAGATATTTAATGAAAAATGCTGCCCCCCTTCACGGAAGGAAGTGCTACAGATTCTGAACCAAACAATCACAAGCCTCTATTTTAATGTGAGAAAAGGCAAGGTACTTCCCTCCTAATCTGGCCTCAGCAAAGTGCTTGGGGCAGGTTCCAGCAGATATCTCCCAGGGCAGACAGAGCAGCATGGAAAATTTGAGCTGTTAATGCTCTGCACATAGAGCTTTGCAATTGTACCACCCTCAAGATGTTAAAAAAGATATTTAAATGAAGAATGTGAGATGCCACATGTTTGCATTACAGCAGGAACTACACAAGGGAAGGTTCTGGCTGCTTCCATCTTGCAAAGCTCCTCCCAGCTTCCACGGCAAAGAGAATCACAGAACCCTACGACAGTCTAAAGCCCACCCAGTGCCACCCCTGCCATGGCAGGGACACCTCCCCTGTCCCAGGGACACCTCCCACTGTCCCAGGCTGCTCCAGCCCAGGGCGGCTCCAGCAGCGGCATGGCCGGGCGGGCTCCGGGAGGCTCCGGCGGGCCCCGCTCCGCGCCCGCTCCCCGCGCGCTTCCGGCCGCGCTTCCGGCAGCGCCGGGGAACCGCGGGAACCGGGAATGGGTACGGGGATGGGACCGACGGGAACTACGGGGAACAGGAACTACAGGAACCCACGGGAACCGGGATACGGGAACAAACGGGAACGGGGAATGGGAGCGGGGGTGGAACCGACGGGAACAGGAACCACGGGAAACGGGAACCGGGAACCAACGGGAACTGGGATGGGAACGGGAACTACGGGAACCAACGGAAACCACGATACGGGAACCACGGGGGTGGGGAACGGGATACGGGTATGGGAGCGGGGATGGAACCAACGGGAACGGAAACTACGGGAACGGGAACCAACGGGAACTACTGGAATGGGAACCACGGGAACGGGAACCGGGATACGGGAACCAGCGGGAACCACGGGAACGGGGATGGGGAATGGGAAATGAGAGCGGGGATGGAACCAACGGGAACGG